CATACAAAAATAGCAAGTTCTTTGTACATTTTTCAAGTTTTGTTCAAATGTAATATATGTAGGTATACAATATTATGACTACCGGGTATCTCATTTTTTATTTATGAATATCGGAAATTAATTAATTTAGAAAAAATTATAAAATTATTTAATGTAAGTTATTTAAATAAGTAACTAAATAAAGGAGAGAGAGTGTCTTTGTAACAAAAAGCTCTTTAACCTAATATTTACACACCCACAAAAGTCAAGTAAAGATGCTACTTATATACTTATCATTCTCCTTATGGATCATATCAGGCATTGTAAACTTTTTTAAATTGGGACTTACTAATGTAAGATCGAATTTATCTACGAATCTCTCTCTTACTATTATTAGCATATGCCTACAGCAAGGTAGTTTGTCCAAATAAGAAAATCACTATAATCGACATCGGTGAACTGTAAAATAACCGGGCATGAAACATGTACCAAAGCAGGCTCCATGTTTTAATCCACATTTTTAAAATTTAAAATGTTGGTTGACTTGACAACCTGTTGGACATGTCGATCAAATTGTAGCCTATGGAAAGTGGCTGGCTACTTGTAAGACCATTGACATTATCGAGAAATACACATGACAGTTGGTTTAGAAAGAGTAAACGCATAATAGTAGACCACTAATCAGTAATCATATTACATGGAACCTTGATAACAAGACTCTCATAGGGATTACAAAATAAGACTTGTTATCAAGGTTGACTTATCAAGGTCTTATCGAGGTTTGCAATATATGTGATTAGGGGTAAAATAATTTCGAGGGAATTTGAAAATGACCCTTTGTAATCAAGGGTGACTTGTTATCGAGGTTCTACTGTAATAATACAAAAGTTGCAGCAGTGTTTTGGGATACAGCCCCGTTAGTTTTAAACGGACTAGACCGATCTTTCGACAAAACCATTGACTCACCAGGCCCTAGTGATTCTTGACCTTTCCGCGCGTTGAAATTCCCGCCAAGTCCTAGTTTAGTCTCACGCGAATACGTTGTAAACTAATATATTACCTCCCTTTCCCACCCACCGTCTAAATGACCGGTCGATCTGTTCGGCCCGTTGGTCAGCGAGCGACCACAGTGCCCCTAGCGACAGCGGACGTAACCACAACAGATCGGCCAACACCTTTGTTGTTGAATCTCTTCCGCGGCGTTCGGTCAAGATCGGGTTGAGGTAGTTCGGACAAACCTCGCTGAAAGTTTGATGTTCTCTAGTTTTTTTTTTCAGTCGTTAATAAATATTTTTTTAAATTTTTCATTGAGTAAGCCTAATGTATGATTAAGTAGGCCTACTATATTTTACAAAATCTTTTATTTCGTCAGTTGGACAATTAAGTTAGTTGTAAACTTTTTACTTTTACAGTAGTTTATTTTCTTCAAGGGAAGTACGAAGTTAGTTGTAGCTTATTTAGTAGCGTGGATTTACATAAGCTGGAGATTTGTTCAAGAGTATATAGAATATTTTTGGGATTTGTAAACGAGCTTCCGCGAGTTGATTGATAGCCTGATGTGTATTAATTTGTGCGAGAAACCTCGGATCGGAGTGAAAAATATGTGCCGTATAAGTAAAAATATGTGAAAATGTTGTTGAAATGCTGTTGTTTTGGGACAAAAGTTGCACCAATAGAGGAGGAGATTATGACGATTTCGTTGTGTGATTCCAAAAACAACAACTTCGTAGAAAAGTTAGTGATTGAAGTGCAGGAACCTAAACGTGAATCGCATTGTTTCAAGTGTTGTTTCTGGCGGAAATCAAAATCTGATGTGTATCCTTTTGTTCCCACTCCGGAAAAACGACAAATTAGGTAAAAATTTGCGGCATTGTTATTTAAATGTAGTTATTTTTATAGTTTATTTTATATAATACTAATAGATTCTAGTCAATTTTTTTTTTAGAGGTTGGCGGCCTCTTTTAACCTTCCATTTGCCCTTCCACGTCCACATAGACTAAGCGCCCGTGCGTGGATCTCTACATACAATTATAGAGACCGTTAGTTTAATTTATTTATATTATATATTTATTAATATTTCTGAAATAACCTAAAAGACTATGATTTTATCATTATTGACATTATTGGCATAAATGTATTTATTTGGTTATTTTTGAGGTGGTTTGTGACTTTGGTACCTGAGATTATTTCATAGGGTTATACATTTTGTAATTTTCAATTACAGAGGAGATTTATTTCAAGAGTATTATACGCATATTACAAACTGTAATTAGTTGCATGAATCAAAAACTGTGCATATATTTTCTATAATCAATGGTATTACTAATAAATTTAATTAGTAAATTTATTAAGTATTTAACATTCACTTCCCGTTTAAAATCCTACCATTGCCAAAAATGAAAACGATACAAGCCTATAAGAAATAAATAAAGTAACATAAATATATTTTAAATCGGAACTAAGCCGACGGAGATCCTAAAACCCTTGCATTAGCACGCGGTGGACAGAGAGGGTTATCATCGCGTCGATCTCTCCAGGCTTACCGCACATTAAAAACATCAAAAAATCCTTCAGATCAAGTGATATGCCAAAGCTGCATACAATAGGGCCAATGCCGGGGACTTTTTTAGGAACCACAAGAAGGGCATAGGTCATTGGCAAGGACCCCCACTTTGTCTAATCAGATTAACTTGTCATGCTGGTACCCATACTTATCATGCACATATTCAACTAAGATCACATTGTAATCATAGCTTTTTTGGTGGATATAACTGATGATATAGGTACACATAGTTTACAATACCATTTGTTTCCGTCATATGATTTTGAAACATGGTCGTTTATGGTATTCACAGTTTGGCTTGGTTAGAAAGTTGGCATTTTTGACAGAAATCAGTATTCCTATACAACACACAGTTGGTGGGTTGGTGGGTTGAGCCAAATACGTGCTTCCTCCACACAAACACTATTTTATAAAAAAAGTATATATATAAGTATGTTGTTTTTGTCTGTTTCAAAATCCTACACTTGTTTTCAAATTGTTTGAACAGTTTCATGTATTTAACTTTTGTATTGTTTTGTTTCAGTGGGGAGAGAGATGGTCTCAAGTCAGTGCTGACTAGACAGACCAGGTACCCCACTGTACACACCAATGGAGCAACCCCTTCACTACCATCTACCCCTCTTCCTCCACAACCTGCAAGGTTTGTGTCTCCTACACCTTCCTTACCTCCTTCACCGCCTGAACGCACAAACTTCGCACCCAGCTCCCAGTCTTTACAAGGTAAATATAAACTTCCTGAATATCAGTTTACAAATTTTTATGGGGTTGGTTATACACGATTATATGTCTTAGCAGAACAATAGTCTACACATTATAGGGATTAAGTGTAAACTTGAGTAATTATTTATGTTTATCCAGAAATTGGTTGTATTGAGGAATAAATAAAGTGTTTGTTATAGTTATTTGTGCAACTAGTGGTTAGCAATTGCCTCACTCGAGAGAAATCCTTGAGCCGTAGGCGAGTGAGGAATGGTTCCCGAGTGAGGCAATTGCACTTTGCACTCGAGTTGCACATTATATTTTTCCTACAGTTACCGTACCATAAAACAAATAAATTGGTAAAGAAACGTAGCATATTTTTACACAGAAGTGAACTTTTAATATGACATTTAATATGAAGTAACAAATAAAACAGTACAACAGCTGACCAGCTGATTTACAGCCAGTGCTGCCAACGTATTTTGCGCGCATACGACCTTGTCTGCATGTTACGCGTTCACTATTTCGTGCCTTCTCGTTGCAAATCTGGAGTGAGACAAAGTAATTAGAGTGAGACAATGTTAACATTGTCTCACTGATGAGTGAATTAGGCACTTTGCTTTCTCAAATCAGCGAGAGAACATGTACATTGTTAGGTAACTGTAGGAAAAATCTCTTGTCTTCAAATAAAGAGAAAAGAAAATGTTAAGCTTGTTTTTTAGTGTTAACTATTGGCAACAGCATATTGTTGTTTACACAGAAGAGAGCATTATTGTAATATTTTAAAATGGAAAAATATACATCAATTTTTTAATAAATTTATTATTTTTGTAAGTAGTTTGTGTTTTTTTTATGGAAGACAAAAACAGACCAATTAAGTTGTGTACTAGTTTAGTGCAGAGTGTTCAAAAAGCGTACAAGTTGTCAATAACCCCAAAGTAGGAAGAAAGAATTTTTGAAAATACTAAATGGCCATAATTATAAAAAAACGATTTTAAAACATATATTTAGGTACAGGTTTTTTATATGTATTCTGGGTTTTTGTATGTACGTTTTTCAAAAGTTGAAAATATGTTTTTTTCTGAAAAAATACTGGTTTCCTTGTTATTTTATCTGTTTTATATCTATAGTGTACAGTTTATGTTGGTATATTGTGTACTGTAACTATTTGATAGGGATTTCAAAGATGAAGGATGGTTCCACATATATTTATAAAATTCAACATTTGAAATGCTACAAAGTATTTATTGCTTGTTCCAGTGGAGGACCTGAGTGGAGACAACGCATCAGAGGAAGTCAGGTCTCGACCTGTATCGGTTTCTGGTCCTGAAGAACCCGAGCCATCCTTCGACCAGGTTGATACATTGACTGTTGAAGAGGTAAAGTTGTGACTTTGATCCATTCCTCAATGACCAATTTAGATAAGCTAAGTAACCTTGGTAGAATAAAACGATAGTTGATCAGTTTATAAAAGGAGGCCACCAACTGAGATTAGAGATTTATAAACTGTTGCCGTGTCTGTATATGAAAAATTACAATTTGTGGTTGAGTTTAATATGCATGATATTTATAAACTAATCTGTGATTTTTTATAAAAGTTTTTTTTTACAATCTGTTTATCTTTTGGAACATTAAGCATTTATGATCACAATTAATAAAACGTTCGCTAGTCTCTATCCACTGACAGATCTAACTTAAAATTATTTCAATGCTGGAAACAAAAAATCTAAAACTACAAAATGAAAATACAAAACGAAGCGTGAGCTGAGGTCTATAAAATGAGTTCTTTTTTTGTCAGTATGTAAGTGTACTATATTGTCTAAAAGGTTAGGGCCAGGTAATTAGGGTGATTTTCAAGCTTTTTTAGGTATTTTACACTAAATTTTGATTCTTCTTCAACTGTGATTGATTGAGATTTGATTACACACTATAAATGAGGGCTACTACAAAATACTATACTACTACAGTAAATACTACTATAGTAGCTACTACAAAATAACTTACCAAAGGTCCAGTGTACCAGAGACCAGCGTCAAGGGAAAAAACCATAACAAAACAAATCCTACTAATATTATAAATGAGAAAGTTTGGATGTATGGATGTATGGATGTATGTTTGTGACAAGTGAACGCGAAAAATACTGGTCGGATTGGGCTGAAATTTGGCATGATGATAGCTCACATTCCCGATTAACATATAGGCATATTCTTATTTCAAAAATCCTTTCGGGCTCCGCCCCAGTGGCTCTGGAGTTTCCCATGTTAACCTTATGAGAAATGAAATTATTGAATCTTAACAGCTGTTTCAATTAAACAAGTTGGTTCTGTTCTGTGATGTTCAATAGCATTAAAGTTACAAAAATTACCAACAGGGTGCAGCACTATTATTTCTTTTACATTTATGACAACAGCTAATTTGCAACCAAAAGGTGAGTGAGCGTAGCGAACGAACTTCAACCTGGAGGCGAGTTAGCGTAGCGAACGAGCTAACCTGAAGGCAAGTGAGCGCAGCGAACGAGCTCCAACCTAAAGGTGAGTGAGCGTAGCGAACGAGCTCCAACCTAAAGGTGAGTGAGCGTAGCGAACAAACTATAACCAGTACGTGATTGAGCCATGCGAACGAGATCATCTTGAAAATTAAGAAGTTAAACGGGGCAAAGCCCGCGGGTTACAGCTAGTAATAACATAATTTGAAGTTGTTAATTCACTAAAACTTCATGGCTGATAGGAAGTAGGTATTTGTGCCACAAGCATATGATAGTTCCTGTGTAAGGCTTCCTCAGAACTAACATAAAGGAAATTTCAGGTGTCTTAAGTACAATACTGAACCTTATTACTTTTGTATTTGATCTCATGTTTTTTCCATACATTAAAAATTCAAATTTTTTGTCACTTGTGAATATTAAAAAAAAGTTCATTACACACACACAGTAAAGTGAAAATAAGCTATATGTTGGATCATGAATTACACCTGAGTTTCACACTTTTTGTACAAAAATTAGTATAGTAAAGTTGTACTGTGACTATAGTCATTATCTATCTGCTAAAGACCATTTTAAGAAAACCAATGACATTGATGTTCATTGTTTAAGCTTTAAGCACACTTACACACAGTAACAGTATGCCTGTTAATACTTACATTTTTATTTTGTTATAACTGAGATAAAAATATTAAGCAAAAGTAAATATTTTTACTGTATAACCCACTACACCCTTATGCTATCAATGTGCAGGAAAGACTGAGCACCCCTCCTCCACCAGCCACACCACCCCCTCCTCCTGCTGTGGTAGAAGAGCCGGAACCTGAGACACTATCTGAGGAAACGGTTGAACATGTTGTGACTGGACCGGACAAGTTCGGCAAAAACACTGGGTAAGATGTCAGAAAGGTCGAATAAATACTGCAAATTGATTTGTATTGACATCAACGACAATGTTTCATTACTAGGGGTGAAGCTGTAAAGCCTTAAATGAACAAAGGTAAAAGAACACCTTTTTTGGCCCGTGTGATGATTTTTGTTAAACTGCGCCAATCTTTAGATATAATTTTGAAGAAAAAAAAACATTAGTTAGCTTCCTTCTAGTTTTGCTGTGAAAGAAATATAGCTATTGGTAAATTTTATTAAGATTAAAATAGTGTAAGTAGACTATATGACTAATGATGTATACCTCTCTTTAAACATCCAACAGAAATCCAACAGAAATCCAACTATGCACGAAAATTGTCCGTAATTACCCTTGATACAGTACAATCAAATATTAAAAGTGAGGATACAAATACCCCCTCCGCAGAAAACCTAAAGACCAAGTGATTTTCAATTTGTCTGATTGATTAGCTTTTACATTAAATGCTAAAATATTTTTATAAGTGTTTCCTTGTTGTAGAATGTTATATAAGAAGGTATAATTCTTCTCTATTTTCTATCCATATCATTCCTATTTATAAATAACACATTTAATAACTTAGGTTTGCTGTTAAGGGGTAGGGAAAATTTGTTTTTATAATATATAGTATAAAATAAATACATTTGCCAAACTTATTCAAAATATATCCGCAAGCCAAATTCCAAAAGTTTACTTTTTCTCCATAAGAACAACAGGAGAATTTGTAATGTACAGGTTTTATAGGACTATGTGTAGAAGAGCAGTTAGTCTCCAGCAAAACACAATATACCAGCTATAGCTCGGCCGCTTAGAAAACGACCTGCGCGCTAATGGTAAACCAATGCTGGAGGAGGTTGTTTTCTAAGCGGCCGAACTATAGTTGCTAAACAATCAATATGTTACAGGAAACCACGGTTAAAAGGGAAAAGTAGCATTAGGGAAGTCAAGTCCGTCTCCGAGAACCCTGAGGTGCCACCTTTTGACAGCCCCAAAGAAGCCCTTAATCGATGTCTTCAGCAACTTGAAAATCCAGAATGGTAAGTGAACATAGTAGAAACAACTTGGTAGTTGGTAGTAGAAACATTATTTTGATTATGAGTACCTACCAAATTGTATTCTGTTAAGACATGTTTAGGAATTTGGCTCATATTTTTCATAAAGATAAATTTCTGGACCAAGATGCAGTATTTTGATGCTTTCCCTAACCAATCAATGTCATTATGAGGCCTCTAAATTTAAAAGTGTCTCAATAATGAACTTGTTAAACTCTGGCCAAAAGATCATAGCAATTGGCTGAATAATATTAGAGCAGTGAAAAATAAATACAAAGTAGCTTAACCAGTATCGGAAAGGTGATTAGAGTGCAACCCCTCTACCCTGGTGGACAAGGTTTAAATCCTGCCAATCACAAATTATATTTATTTGAAAACGCTGTATCCCAGTGATAATAGCTTAACTTAAGCCTTTAAGCTGTAATTTCGTCCATTAATGAACTGTTGATGAACGAACGTGTGAACCCTTCCAGTTCATAGTTCACTCTGTGTTGACTGTACTAAGACTCGGATAGCTAAGTTAAGCTAAACCTTCGCTTGTTAAGCTTCTTTCAAAAAGCAACAAACAATAGTTAGTGAATCTAACAAGATTAAAACATTTCAACACAATGCTAATGTTCATTTTGCCTGTTTAAAGGGAGGTGATAATGCTGGGTCTACAATCTTTGGTTCGTTTAAGCTGCCACCACTCTACGCTAGTCATTCCTGTGCTTCATCAGGTTGTGATGGCTTTGACCAAACATGTAAAAAACCTCCGTTCTCAGGTAGGTTGACTAAGCATCTTCTTTAAGCGTTTTGAAATGGTTCCAGCATTCCAGCGTTGTTGTAAAAATATACTACACGAGCCCTATTTCATAGTTTTATTCAATTTCATACAAGTTTTATTCCTAACTTGAAGTTTGCAGTTAAAATACACACAAATGTGAATGGAGTCAAGAAAGCAAAAATTAATTCCTTCCCTTTACTTATTTAAGGAGTTTTAAATAGTTAACCTTGATCATTATTTTGAACAATTCAGAATAGGGTTTGGAGCGGTGCTACTTTTATCGAATAAAATGTCTCAAACTGAAAAAACGTTTGACGTATTTATGTTTATAAATAAAATAGGCCTATGGTACGGTAGCATAGTCCAGCAAGTAGGGATTATAAAAAATGTCTATGGATTTAATATGAAACAGACATGTGCCTATTACAGCCCAATTGTGAAAATAAACTGTAACTAAAAACCAAAACCCGATATAAGATTGTAAATTTAAGGCAATATAATGTGAAATTATTTTCTCTAGGTGGCCAGAGTTGCGTGTAAAGCAGCCACGTATTTGTTCACTTCTTTAGGCAGAGGGATGGAGAATGTAAGTAATTATGTAAATTGTTAATTGTATATTATACTCTAAAATCAAGAATGAGGAATCCAAGGAAAATACTGTATTGCTTTTATAAGAGGATCCTCTTTTTTTATAAAATTATTGATCAAATCGACAGGGAATGAAGAGATTTATGATGAAAAATTTAGGAGTATAATGCCCTAATATTAGGTTTCTTTTCTTCTATATGCCTTGTAGGTATATAATAGATTAAAGGTAGGTTACATTAACAATCTGTCTTGTAATCTTGTCTCCTAAATGGTTGCATATGTCGTATGCGAGAAGAATAAGTTTTGTAATAAAATTGATGAGACATACAAGAGTGAAAAATTAGTGTTTTACTGAAAAGTTCGAAAAACACTAACTTATAGCAAGCTCCAATACAAATACATCTCTTTTTCTATGTGCCCTTGACCCTTGTACAGTGCACACATTTTAATTGCAGGATATGGACGAGTTGTGTGCGGTTCTGTTCAACAGAACGGCAGACACAAACAAGTTCCTGCGCGCAGACTGTAACAACGCACTCGACGCAATGGTAGACAGCGTGAGTGCTCACAAATCTGTCGGCTCTATAATCAACAAGGGCGCAAAGTGAGTATAGACCTTTGACAATGGATAGAGATAACACTATAGACACGTTTTCGTGCACTCATCCACGCAGCGCATTAGATGTTTGCGCCACCGGCAGTGGCCGGCCATCGCGCGACCGTATTTAACGTGTTAAGTACTGTATTCTAATGTATAGACAATTAAAACAATAATCCTGCAGTCTATTTTTTGTTACAGTATATACCTTGTTTTGGAAATAGCTTACATGCCACCATGTTTGGAAACTAAATTTAATAATAAAGAATATTTTAGGTGGAATTTGAGTGACGTTATCCATAGAATGGTTGAAAAAAATTGCTCAATAAAAAAAAATCTTAAATGTTCCCCTTGTGTAGGCATCAGAACGCCATTGTGCGTACGGCCGCATGTCGTCTACTGCTGAGGCTGTGTACGAGGTTAGGACCTCAACGGACACTCAACCTTCCAAAGGATACGAGGGACTCGATCCTGAACACTGGAGCTCGTAGTTTAACAGAGGGCAGTCTAGACACCAGGTACAGTACTTTTTACAGAATAATTACTTAATTCAAATAGCTGTGAAAGGAAAGAGCACTTGGCTCAAGAATACATTTTTATGAATGGATAAATAACAAACATAAGAGAAGAGTTTCAGGAGGGCACAGTATAGTGTTCGTTCACAAAGCACATGCTGTAATGAAAAATCATATCCAGTCTAGAATATATAGCGAATAGTGGTGCTTTTGTATGTACAGTATTGAGAGACAATGTGTGACAAAAGACAACTGCTATTCGTATAGTCAATGTCTTTGCTTATCACCAAATGTAAGGGGGGGCGGAGCACTCTCTTTCTTGAATCTGAAACTCGAGTTCTAGCTGAAACAGCAAAGTTCTAGCTCGGCTGACGTCTAAGTAGCGGTAAGTCAGACACGTTGTCCTATTCGTTAAACACCTCAAATGTAAACAAATATTTGAAGAATATTTATTGGTTACCTATTTGAATGCATTAAATTGTACCTTTTAGCCTGCTAATTTATTTAAGAATTACCTCCATAACTCAAACCATGGGGAGCTGGTCTAGTGACAAGTGTTGGGCTTTAGAGCCTGAGGTCCTGTGTTCAAGTCCCGCCAATCACCAATGGGTTTTATTATATGTGATAATGCCAAGACTCTCAAGGACTAGCCTGAAGTAATGTGTAAACCAGTCCTGCGCTAGAACGTAATGGTCCTAGGTTCCGTAAATGTTTCCTAGAATGTAATGGTAAGCAAAATAGAAAAAAATAAATAGAAAAAAATGATGTCTAGGTCAAACTACACACAGCCCATGAAAAAATCACAGTCTGAGAAATTTTGAGAATTCTAAGGATTCACAGTGTACATAGTGTTAGGTATCAGAGACAAAGTTGGCAGTGTACACAATGTTGTGTCTATTGTAGGAGGTATGCCAAGGAGATGTTTGTGCTGCTGGGTCAGGACCCCAGACTGACTCCGTTACTGATGGAAGTAGTCCCAACCAGTGTGATGCGCAGTATCAGCAAAGTTCTGGCTCGGCTGACGTCTAAGTAGCGGTAAGTCAGACACGTTGTCCTACTCGTTAAACACCTCAAATATATAAACAAATATTTGAAGAATAAGATAATTTTTTACTCGTACTCGGTGCATAATCTCTAGAGGCTTCAAACCCCTCAACTCTACTTTGACCATTCTTGTAATTCTCTCCTGACATGAAGTTGGTCTATAACAAAATAGTAGCAAAACAACATAAGAGTGTCGTACAGTATCGGTCTTCCTTTCTTCTGCGTTCTCCCTCAAAACAAGCTATATTTATATATTTTTTAGTAGGTAGTTAGTTGTAATTTTTAGCAAAAAACTTTCAAAATTGTCAGAATAATTATTGTATATTTTTGAATGTTAAGGGGTCATCAATTTTTATCAGCATTGGTGAAATATTCCATTGGAAGTGTTCGACTCGGTTTACTAAGTGATTATACTATCTGAAAGAGATCATGGAATATAATTCTTTGTCCAACTGCAAAAAAATACATTAAAGTACTTTAAAGGCTAGATAAATTAGGTACTAGATCAATACAGAAAGATAAAGCTTTACAAAAAGTCTAATTCGAGTCTTAAAATGTGTCTTGAAGTGTTTAAGAAGTGTATGAGATGTGTTTTTTTTTTATCACCAGTACTATTCCTGTGAATATAATGCAGTGAAAGCAATGTGCAGTATCTACTTATACAGGGTGAGTTTTAATTGTCCCCCCCCCCAACTTTTTTCTACATTTTTTCAAATATCAATCCCAGACCACTTCCAAACATTGTTGGGTAGTAAGTACTTCATTTTGACAAGGTGGCCATTTCCGGCCGCCATCTTGGATCCGCCATATTGGATGCAAAATTTTTTTTTCAAAAGTAAAGGTGGGGTTGTGACCCATTATTTCGAACTACATTTTTACCCTGATTACAATGCCGCAAACCGTTAAAAAAAATCTTGATTAATTCTAAAGTTATGAGGGCTTTTTAAAACTTTATTTTTAGCCCATTTTAACATTGTGCATTTACAAACTAAGACCATAATCTCAAAATAGTGCTAGATAAAGATAAGTATACACTACCAGTAATTGTCGACCTATTTTCACTTGGTTATGACTGATGTATTTTTTTTCGGCCGCCATCTTGGATCCGCCATTTTGAAATGTGATAAATTATTTTAAATATGAAGGGGGTGTTGTGACCCATCATTTCGAACTACTTTTTTAAGCTGAACTTAATTCCATGATCCGTTTTTCATTTTCATTTTTTGATTTTGAAATATTGACATTTTTAACAAAAAAATTTCAATATTTCATAAATAAAACTTGATAACAAAAAATGGGTTGCGGCATTGTCTTCAGCTTAATTAAAACTCACCCTGTAGATACTTTGGTTCTAGATGGTAATAATAACAAAAAAATGCAAAACAGTGGGCCACAACATAAAACTGAAGAATGTTTTGTAAATTATAATGCTTGGACACAAAACTGACATACACTTTTTGTTTCAGACTGACACCAGAAGATGCATGGAGGCTTCACTAAGATGTTTAAATACGGTAGCAGTGACAGAACTATTGTACATGACAATATTACCAACCCCTCACCCTCTACTCGCCTTTTCTACAGAAGTAGCCTACTTTCCACTCAAAATAGGTCAACAATGTTCGGGTTTACTTCTATTGCTACCACACAAACTGGCTGCTGATAAAAAAAAGTTTTTCTTCCATATAGTACCCAACACTTATGGCATGTTGAGAAACGATCAAGAGGACAGAGCTTTTCTGTTGGTTTCTTCCCACAATGTACTTGCTCCGTGTTTAAGCAGCTTAACTGTGAGATTAAGAGGCTGTTATAGAATAAGTTTTTTACCAGATACACCGAGAGTGATTTAATATAAGAACACTTCCTATTGCTGTTTTCAGAGTTTATTTTACCTCTGCTGTTTGTATATGGTACGTAAGCCCTAAATGATTAGGATGTTAAATTAATTAATTATACACTTTATTTGTGCATATAAGAGGAAGCATTATTGGAAAACAATATGTTGAAAAAATACAATTCAAGAACATCAGTAGCATATTTCATTGTGTAACAAATCTAAAATTTAAAGGCTGTTATTACTAAAAATTCATAAAACCTGTGTCATATATAAACAAAGTATAGTTATTCACTAAAATGGGTCTTATGACTTTCTAAATTCTTCAATTTTGAACAGTTGGTTGAGTATTTCAAAACTTATAATCATCCAAAATCATTACAAAACAAAACGTTTACTAGAAATATGCTCTATTTAGTCTGATACTAGAGCATTATGAGAATTTGTTAACATTTTGTATGTGGCAGATCTTGTGATAAAAATATTACTGTCCCGTATTAACCGTGAAGTATATCTTTTTCTTTTCATAGCCGAAGTAAATATAAAGCAATATTATTACTATCTCCGTCCATTAAACTGATGAAGCATTTAATTTCTGTACAAATCTATCTTAGAATCAATGTACCGTATTGTTAGTGAAGTAAGAGAGAGCAGCTGTTTGTAAAATAGATATTTGTTTACAATCAAAATTATATAAAATATTGTTTTATCTATCGCTTTGATTTTTTTTCCCTTGCCTCCCTGTGAAAAATCACTATGATTTAAAGCATGGTTGATGAACAGAATATTATATAAGTTGGTTCAATCAGCTGTGTGACAGTGCATAGTAAGCATTTTGAAAATTAAACTAAAATACCCCCGCCGCAGCAAACCTGCAGACTAAGCGAATTTCAACTGGTCTGATTACGATTTTATTTAAAATATTTCCATAAATAAGACATATTTATTCCCAATTTAAATAACATTAGATTTAACGAGTGCTTATAGGCTTGCTGCTGCGGGAAGTTAAAAAGTGTTTTTTGAATATACCTCAACAGTATAGGATGAAATAAATAAATTTGCCAAATTTTATCTACATATATCCTGAAAACAAGTAAATTACAACAGTTTTAATTTTATCCGTAAGAATAACATGAGAATTTTAAATTACACTATTTTTGAATATTCTCCGTAACCGTTAGGCATACAACAGCGCTTCAATATACTAAATTATTTATTTTTTAAGCTCTAAAAAACGGGTTAAAAAGAAATTGCAAAACCCCCGTTCCCATGGACAGATTATGCTGGTTTTCGAACTCGTTTGAATAAACGTAGGTTTACATGTTTGTACTAAATTTAATCAAAATCGGATCATTTTTGCTCGAGTTATTGCGCCAACGGACACACATATATTATATATTAATTTGAACGGGTCGTATTTTTGGCCTCTAGGGACCTCAAAACGAAAAATTAAATCGGTCCCAGGTCCAGGTCTTACCATGAGTACTATGGTAATAGCTTATTCCCTATTGGATATTCGATAAAAGGAAATTAAATTAACATTCTAAACTCCTTCCAACTTTCATGGAAACAAATAATAAAATAATTTTTAGTATCTTTGAAAGCTTAGAGGCAGAACTCTGAGCAATTTTTAAATGAGGAATCAGAGACACTTACACTTATTGAACATATATTCCCAAGGATTCATAGGGATTGGCTGAACGTTTGGTAACACAAGGACAAACGAATGTTTCTCTGTGTGTATATAGATAGATAACAAGTAAACAACGTAAGGTGCCGTAATGCACTAATACAAGGCTGTATAGAACATGAATACAATGCTGATTGTATACACTCCAGTGATTTCATATTATAGATAATGACTTGAATCATGTCATTCCTAAGGAATGGGCAGGATCCATTATGTTTTGCCAAGTAGGCTTATAACAACAATTGCATTCAGCTTTTACATTATATTGTTTCCATGTCATCCACAGAAATCACAGTTCCAGTTCCCTGGGGCCATATAGCTGGTGAGTCTGTTTTTTACTTTAAGAAGTAGATTAACTTATCATTGTTACTCTGTTTATAGTCTTATCATTTATCATTTATAGGGTTCCAGTTATCATTTATCATTTATAGGGTTCCAGTTATCATTTATCATTTATAGGGTTCCAGAGTGTAATGATAGGATGAATGTACAAACATTATACAGTAAAATGCACACTGTCCTTTTAGCGAATTTCCCATATAGGGAATAAGCTATTACAGTAGTACTCATGGTAAGACCTGGACGCGGGACCGATTTTTTTTTTCGTTTTGAGGTCCCTAGAGGCCAAAAACACCATCCGTTCAAATTCATATATATATATATATATATATATATATATATATGTGTCCGTTAGCACGATAACTCGAGCAAAAATGATCCGATTTTGATGAAATTTGGTACAAACGTGTAAACCTACATTTATTCGAACGAGTTCGCGATCCAGCATGATCGGACTATGGGAACGGGGGTTTACGGGGGGTTTTATGGGGTAAAAATATGTTTTTCCCATTTTTGACCCAAAAAACATAAAATTTAGCAATTTCTTTCCAAACCATTTTGTAGAGATTAAAAAAACAAATAATTTAGTATATTGAAGCGTTATTATGCGCCTAATGGTTACGGAGAAAATTCCAAAAAATTGTAAATTTAAAATTCCTATGTTATTATTATGGAGAATAAGTAAACTGTTGTAGTTTGCTTGTTTATGAACATATTTTGATCAAATTTGGAAAATGTTTTTATTTTTTACTAACTATTAACATTTTACAAAATAACAGTTTTACCCTCCCTGATGCAGCAAACCTAAGTACTTGTTAAAATAATTCTATTTAAATCGGGAATAAATGTTATATTTTTAAGTAGACATCTATATAAATAAAATTAGAGTTTTGTCTGTACATTGCTTAGAATAATGAACTTTTTGGTTATTTTTACATTTCATAGGTCAGAGAAACCGAATCAAACCTTATCTCAATTTCTGTCTGTCTGTCTGTCTATCTGTCTGTCTGTCTATCTGTCATTCTCTTGGTAACGCTAAAATACGCACTTTATTACAACTACTCCTCAATAACTATAGCACTGTCCCGCCTGAAACTTATTTTCCAAATACTATACATATATGAGATGGTTTTAGACGTATTTCATCGAATATGAGACAGTTAGATATTTAACAGTAAACCCTTGAAAATCAAGTTTTTGTCGATTTTTGACGTGGAATTTCTGGAAGCCCATGTTAACCTTATGAGAAATGAAATTATTGAATCTTAACAGCTGTTTCAATTAAACAAGTTGGTTCTGTTCTGTGATGTTCAATAGCATTAAAGTTACAAGGATTACCAACAGGGTGCAGCACTAGCACTATTATTTCTTTTACATTTATGACAACAGCTAATTTGCAACCTGGAGGCGAGTGAGCGTAGCGAACGAGCTAACCTGAAGGCAAGTGAGCGTAGCGAACGAGCTAACCTGAAGGAAAGTGAGCGCAGCGAACGAGCTCCAACATACAGGTGAGTGAGCGTAGCGAACGAACTTCAACCAGGACGTGATTGAGCCATGCAAACGAGATCAGATAGTAAAAATAAAAGTAAGCCTACCGTTATAGGATCGACCGGCAGACACAGAGGTAATTTAACCTTTTATTGATTGTCATACCGATCCGGAACAACAAAAAACAACATAAAATGAAGCTATGTATAATAGTTTGGCCAGCATATCTTAAAATATGCAAACCAACTGCTGTTCTTTATATAAGAAGGTTTCAACTGAATATTATAAGATCCCCGTGCGTAGAACGGGTACACAGCTAGTTTCAGTATAAATCCAATCAGTCAAATGGAAATTCGCTTAGTCTGCAGGTTTGCTGCGGCGGGGGTATTTCATAATTATTTAGTTTTATAGACAGATTTATATTTAGATTCAATATCTGGCATTATCAAATGCACCATGTATGCCTAAGGACAAATAAATACAAATCTATATACGGCACCTAATCAAAGTCAGTTTATGTCTTTTAACAAGTAGATGGATTGATGGATACGCTAATTATAATTCAACTGTTGGACTAATATACTCAAAATAAAATAAAACATAAATATTACATACTTGGGTTTTGGGAGAAAAAATAATTAACTAAATTATAAAAATGGCTTTATTCAAAGCTTTTTATAGTTGATTTGTATTATTCAACATTATTTTCACAAACTTCCATGGAACGTAGAATTTTGATTCCATTAAGTATTGAGGTCAGTGCCGGATTTACCACCAGCCCAACTGCTGGGTTGCAAGCAAAAGGGAGCCACAGCCTTTAGTACATAATTCAAAAATTGAACTTTATCAGTAAAATAAAAAGTTTGAACAATCGACTAAAATGATGTCCCCTTGATTGGGGTGGATGTTCATGATTTCGCCCTGTAATTCCACGTATGGGGTGGGGGCCACTTGGGTTATTTGGCCTAGGGCTGCAAGTACCTTAAATTTGGCACTGATTGGTGCTTCCCCAAACCATATGGTTATTATTTCACTATTATTATGTTACAATGGCAAAGATTGCATTATTAATTGGATCATACAAATTAAAATATAGTTTTAAGAGAGGAATGAAAACTTCAATTAAAGGTTTAATAAAATAGCTTTTAAGTAACACAACCAAACCTTTTCTCTTTAACACATTAGCTACCAACTATACTTATCCCTCTGTTACAGAGGAGTGTGACGGTCGGTAGGGAACATGTTAAACTACTCAAATTACAATTCAATACTGTTAGGTTTAATAGCCGAGTGGTCTAAAGCTTTGTGTCCCACATGTTAAACTACTCAAATTACAATTCAATACTGTTAGGTTTAGTAGCCGAGTGGTCTAAAGCTTTGTGTCCCACATGTTAAACTACTCAAATTACAATTCAATACTGTTAGGTTTAGTAGCCGAGTGGTCTAAAGCTTTGTGTCCCACATGTTAAACTACTCAAATTACAATTCAATACTGTTAGGTTTAATAGCCGAGTGGTCTAAAGCTTTGTGTCCCACATGTTAAACTACTCAAATTACAATTCAATACTGTTAGGTTTAATATAGCCGAGTGGTCTAAAGCTTTGTGTCCCACATGTTAAACTACTCAAATTACAATTCAATACTGTTAGGTTTAATAGCCGAGTGGTCTAAAGCTTTGTGTCCCACATGTTAAACTACTCAAATTACAATTCAATACTGTTAGGTTTAGTAGCCGAGTGGTCTAAAGCTTTGTGTCCCACATGTTAAACTACTCAAATTACAATTCAATACTGTTAGGTTTAATAGCCGAGTGGTCTAAAGCTTTGTGTCCCACATGTTAAACTACTCAAATTACAATTCAATACTGTTAGGTTTAATAGCCGAGTGGTCTAAAGCTTTGTGTCCCACATGTTAAACTACTCAAATTACAATTCAATACTGTTAGGTTTAATAGCCGAGTGGTCTAAAGCTTTGTGTCCCACATGTTAAACTACTCAAATTACAATTCAATACTGTTAGGTTTAATATAGCCGAGTGGTCTAAAGCTTTGTGTCCCACATGTTAAACTACTCAAATTACAATTCAATACTGTTAGGTTTAATAGCCGAGTGGTCTAAAGCTTTGTGTCCCACATGTTAAACTACTCAAATTACAATTCAATACTGTTAGGTTTAATAGCCGAGTGGTCTAAAGCTTTGTGTCCCACATGTTAAACTACTCAAATTACAATTCAATACTGTTAGGTTTAATATAGCCGAGTGGTCTAAAGCTTTGTGTCCCACATGTTAAACTACTCAAATTACAATTCAATACTGTTAGGTTTAATAGCCGAGTGGTCTAAAGCTTTGTGTCCCACATGTTAAACTACTCAAATTACAATTCAATACTGTTAGGTTTAATAGCCGAGTGGTCTAAAGCTTTGTGTCCCACATGTTAAACTACTCAAATTACAATTCAATACTGTTAGGTTTAATAGCCGAGTGGTCTAAAGCTTTGTGTCCCACATGTTAAACTACTCAAATTACAATTCAATACTGTTAGGTTTAATAGCCGAGTGGTCTAAAGCTTTGTGTCCCACATGTTAAACTACTCAAATTACAATTCAATACTGTTAGGTTTAGTAGCCGAGTGGTCTAAAGCTTTGTGTCCCACATGTTAAACTACTCAAATTACAATTCAATACTGTTAGGTTTAATAGCCGAGTGGTCTAAAGCTTTGTGTCCCACATGTTAAACTACTCAAATTACAATTCAATACTGTTAGGTTTAGTAGCCGAGTGGTCTAAAGCTTTGTGTCCCACATGTTAAACTACTCAAATTACAATTCAATACTGTTAGGTTTAATAGCCGAGTGGTCTAAAGCTTTGTGTCCCACATGTTAAACTACTCAAATTACAATTCAATACTGTTAGGTTTAATAGCCGAGTGGTCTAAAGCTTTGTGTCCCACATGTTAAACTACTCAAATTACAATTCAATACTGTTAGGTTTAGTAGCCGAGTGGTCTAAAGCTTTGTGTCCCACATGTTAAACTACTCAAATTACAATTCAATACTGTTAGGTTTAGTAGCCGAGTGGTCTAAAGCTTTGTGTCCCACATGTTAAACTACTCAAATTACAATTCAATACTGTTAGGTTTAATAGCCGAGTGGTCTAAAGCTTTGTGTCCCACATGTTAAACTACTCAAATTACAATTCAATACTGTTAGGTTTAATAGCCGAGTGGTCAAAAGCTTTGTGTCCCACATGTTAAACTACTCAAATTACAATTCAATACTGTTAGGTTTAATAGCCGAGTGGTCTAAAGCTTTGTGTCCCACATGTTAAACTACTCAAATTACAATTCAATACTGTTAGGTTTAATAGCCGAGTGGTCAAAAGCTTTGTGTCCCACATGTTAAACTACTCAAATTACAATTCAATACTGTTAGGTTTAATAGCCGAGAGGTCAAAAGCTTCGTGTCCCAGCCAGGAGATATCACCAAAGATTTAGGGTTTGAAGATTGTCTCATCAGGCCCGGTACCGGTATGCAGTACGAGTAGTTCGTCTACCAAGTCTTTGGAAGTCTTAGTTGAAGAGGCTCCCCTAAGATAAACCTAAGGTGGACATCATAAGTGGATTAATTTAAAAGCTACCGCTCAATTCAAGTATTATACAAAGTAAACTATTCAAAAAAACTATGTGACTACTCTCGAAAGTATGTGATAATATTAATTTTTGTGTCTGAAAGGAGAACAAAAATAAATTAAAGCACTCTAGGAATATGAAACCACTTAACTTCATATGCTTTGATTGACAAGCAATAAACTTGACTAAAAGCATAACTTTTCTTTCAGCCAAAGCGTGGGGAACTCCAGGCAACCCAAGATTGCTGGCAATCCATGGTCTGAATGACAACGCAGGATCATTTGACCAGCTGATGCCGCTGTTGCAAGACCAGCTGTACATCATATGTTTGGACTTACCAGGACACGGTCTCTCATCCCACTTCCCACCCGGACTCCACTTCTCTCTCCTGGACTTGGCTTGTTCCGTTAAACTCGTTGTGGACCACCTAAACTGGACAAGCTTCAACATTCTAGCCCACAGCATGGGAAGCACAGTGGCAATCTACTTCACCGCTCTTTTCGGCGAGAAAGTAACTCACTCAATCCTAATCGACGGATTTTTCCCAATCGTCATTCCCGGGGAAAATTTTGTGCAAGAGCGTTGTCAAGTAATCTTAGAGAAGTTTCTGCGACCCGTTAAACCTGGGATGACTTACGACTTCAACGGAAGCATCACCAAACTCAGGGAAGAACGGATCAAACATATTAGTGTTCACGCGTTGAGAGCTCTCCAAAAGCGAGCTTTCACTCGTAGTGACAAAGGGTATGTTTTCAATAATGACAAAAGAACAAAGCTAGTAGTGTACGGTTTGTTTACTGCTGGTTTCCATTATGGACTGTTGAAATGTTTAGATTGTCCGATTCTCATGATATTGACTTCGGAGTTTGAAGCCTCTTCGTTGTCTCACACTCCGACCAACCAAGGATCTCTTGCCTTGTTGAGTCAGACTCTCGGCCCTAAGTTCAAGACAGTCAGGACCCCAGGCTCTCATGATGTCCATATGGACAGTCCAACACTCTTAGCTCCTGTCATCAAACATTTCCTCATTCATCCTGTCAGTCACTTGTGAATTGTTTTCTACAAACTCCTGGCATTTAAAAGGCAGGTGCCTAGGTGTTATACTTGTACTATTTACTTGCGGGTATTGAAGTAGGCATCCCATCAGTAAAAACCCTCAGAAGCCAATTTTAAAATTTTCATAACTAAAATTATGCGGCCTTTACTGTATGTAATTTTTTTATTGATTGAAAATAAACTACAAGCATAGCTATTCCACACCTTCCAACTGCTTGGTTACAAACTAAGTGTTAGTATATTTAAGTAATTTACCTACGACCATTTTTTAAAGTAGGTAGCCGTTTCAGTTCAGTTCTTAGAATTGAAAAAATTCACATAACAGCATTGTTTACTTACATAACATTACTCATAACAACACGAGTAAAACAGACCAATGAGGTTCAAGGTTGGAGAGAGAAGAAGTAAAATTGTAATGATTCAAACTTCAACTAATCAGCTGTTCAGGCAAATTTTTAATGGTGCAATTAGTGTTTGGTACAATGTTTCGTTGCATCACTGTCAGTGGCAATGAGAGGTTATAAACAAAAATATAACCTCTCTTAGAAGTTATGAGTAGTGATTTTTTGTAATTAAAACACTGTTGTAGGTAAAGTAGTGTACACAACTCACGTAAATAATGTTAACCGCACTCGTAGAAGTTTTCTAAGGCACTCGTCAAGGCTCGCACCTTAAATTTTATACTTGTGTCGTTAACACTATCTTTACGAAATCGTTGCGTAAACTACTACTAAGCAACTGAATCATGTCTCTAATTTTCCAATAAAAAAAGAGTAAAACTAATTGTACGGATTATATCTTGAATCACGTGATGGGCTAAGTTTTGTGTGCAATACAGTTTTCTTTTTTTTAACACCTTGACTGTTTTGCCTGTAGCTCTGCTGACTTTATACATATCTTAAAGCAAAATAATCACTTAATATCAAGAATACCAACCATAAAATGTTAAATGAAAGGGAAGTAAAGAAAACAAAACAAAGACTTGTACGCATTTAGATTTTTGCAACTCCATGTCAAAAAGTGCAACTCTAACATAGTGCTTGGCAACTACAAAACCCACTTATCCATACAAGACATTCTTATATTTTCATGAGTTTATAAATTCTTACGGATGAAAAGAATTAATATACAGAGAAAGTGAGAAGTCTGTTGGCAACACAGATGTTCTTGATTTGAATTATGAACTTTAATTTTCGATCTCACAAATTTATGGTTCCAGCTTGAATGGTAAAAAATTAGGGTGGAAATGGAAAGCGCTGGTTTGCTAAGTTAATGCAATTCTTGGTTCAATCTTTACCTGCATACAACTGAAAAGTAGCTCCTTAAATAATTGTCTGAATACTGCTTCCAGGATGCTGTTTGCCAAAAAAATTCTCACATTTAAATAAAGTTACACACATATTAAATATTATTAGTTTTGGTAGATTTAACATCGATATATCTATTTATTTATATTTATATATATTTATAAAAAAACAAAATAACATAAATGCATCATATATCAATTCTATTTTTATAAACAACAGATAAATAATAATAGTATATATCACATATATTGTTGTATGAGAATTCAAATGTGGTAAGATTGTAAGTGACTGGTCAATTTTACTAGCACGAGAGTAATCCATTCAAACCGACAAGCACCACAGAAAATACAAAACAACAAAAATGGCTCACACGAGCGGTATACCTGTATTGGAATGAAATTCGTTAGAGCAAAGTGTTCCTGTAGTTCGACAACACACTAAACAATACTACCGTTAAATACTACTGTAAAAACATTCTAATTCGCTCACAAAAACTGCCACAAACTTACTGACGAACCTGACATACAAAATGTACAGCAAACAATCACGGGACAAAAATATCACAGACGCTAAAACATAGACTGACGCAGACACTTTAATTGTACATTTGATTGCTAAAATATTGCTTCTGGCGCAGCCCGGCAAAATTAACCAGTCACTCCACCACAATACAACGGAGTACAAGAAACGTCCTGTACATATATACAGGCAAATAGAATAGACTGGCCAAGGGTGAGCAAAACTATATGTGATGCGATTGTATAAAATATCTGATGTAACAATGTTTTAAATTGTAGTCAGTGGTGAAATGAGATGATAACTAGTTTACAGACAACTACTAGCCTACATGTTCAACCTTCAATCTTGTAAATTGTAATAAATAGAAACTAAAAAACAAAAAACATAAATTACTAGTTTGAATATTACAAAATGGCGATTAGATCTGAAGAAATTGTATTTTTAAGGGACAGAGTTCAGCTAACTTAACTTGAAAAATAATACTGTGATGTGTTTGATGAAATTTCATGGCTTTCAAGTACTTAAATTTTGTCAGGCAAGCTAGCTATATTCTTATCACTTTTCAAAAATTTCCAAATCAGCCATTAGCTATCCTGTAAAATAGCACTTGTTGAAATTAATATCTCCAACAAGTCTTATGACATCTGATCAAAAACCAAGTCTTCGAAGAACAGCCTTAAAAACCTGTAGTTGATATAATTTGTTGTTGTATCTAATCGGTATATTCAAATAACTCTTATTCACATAAATTATAAATAGGAAACAATCATTTAATTGCTTTCCACCCATGGCCAATCCACTAAAGAACCACAACCATAAAGAATAAATGCATCAGAGAAGTATGTGAATAAATAAGATGAAATATAGCTAAGAAAGGCACAGCACAACACAAAACAAACTTATGACATGAAATCTCCCAACCACACTATTAGGCCTAGACACTCCACAATTTGAGCATAAAATCATACATACCCTGTTAGGGTGAGGGACATGGGGGTAAAATTTGTAGTTGTTTTATCTGTCTTAACAAACCACTCTCAGTCTTACCATTGTTAAAACCAATCCCAGTTTGTATTTGCTTGAAATAAACAACGTTTTTGAACTCCCTCGGTTATAAATATCGTAGTAGTGAATATAATATCAATAATAAGACTTATTGTACAAAATGAGTATTTCAGTTTCCAGTTTATTGTATGGTAAAAACATATTTCTATAACACAAAATGGTTAAATTGTGTATTATTAAAAATTGAAAAATTGTAAATTCATATTTCATACAATGAAAATAAAGTAAAACTATAATAAAATTGCTGATTAAGAGGAAAGGTGAAAAACACATTTTCAATCATTCACAGTACAGTGGTATTGTTGAAACCTACAGACAAAATCCAACCAAGATCAGGTACTGTTTCAGTTTTTAATTGTTACCTAAAAAAATAAAATCTTGAATAATGTTATCCACACAAACAATTTTACTCAACTCAATATATGATATTTTTGTTTCAGGACGTGTTTAGTGTATGTTGAGCCTGAAAAAACATTATTTGGATAATTTATGTTTAACTACAGCAATTCAAGAGAAATAACATTAAAACAACTAACTAAATTAAAACAAATCAACCATGAAACATTAATTCAAACCAAAGAACTGAGTAACCAAAGAACTAAGAATAGTACTGGCATTCAAAAATGCAAGTTCTACAAATGAAGCTGTACAACTATAAATATTTTGAATGAATTTCCTTCACTCTGTAATATAAATCTGTCGGGTTATTGTTAAATATAATACTGATTGGAACACACAAAGAAGCAAAATTTAAAAACTAAAACAACATAAATTTTTGAAACTGAGTGCTCACAAGTCAATTAAAGACAAAAAAACCAAAACGGTTCATAGCTAATGTAGGTACTTGGGTTATTTTAGTAGTTATAAACAGCTTTCAACATCTTCGTTGTTTAAAATATAGAAGGAGAAAACTTACAAATTTAAGTTGGTAGAGTTTTACCTTAAATAATTTGAAACTTAGTTAAGAATATGGCACACAACTAAGTTGTCAATGAAATTTAAAAAGTCTTTACAAATATCATAACGATAACATTCAATGAGGTAATCATGAGTTTACAATTGAAATTGACACCCTCCACACTCCGATAAGACTTAACTTCATTGATAAACATTACATAAAACTGTAAAAAACAATAACAATAAACAATAACAGTCGAGTCTTGTAAAACTTAACATCGGCCCGAACCTTGCTGTCTTGTCAAACAAACTAATTCATTAAAATAAATACTTAACAATAAATAAATAATACACTACAAAAATGCAATTTTTGATTTCACGTCTAAATAATAATTGACAAAAACTTTTAATATCGTCGTATTTAAATAGTAGCAGTATCATTGTAGAAAGTATCAATAGAAGGATGGACACATATATACTGTATATGGATAGTTTGTAACGTTACAATTGTACTATGAGAGGGTCATATGAGATAGGCCGTATTTTGAATGCAAGTCATGCGGTGGAAGACTTGGTTTAAACGTCGGAAGGAAATGTTTCTTGGATTAATATCGGGATTATTATATACAGGAAATATAAAAATATTCGTTTTCTTCTGAACAACGTTAAATTATATTTTTAGAATAAACGAGGAATTGAATCCATGTTTGGTGAGAGAACAAACACACCATAAGTTGCAGCCTCTTGACCACTTTCATACTAAATAAAATGATTAAATACCTGAAGTACCGGATGGTAATCTTAGTCTATATTCCAGCAATCAAGGTTTAAAACCATGGGTTGTCATCAAAACTAGCAGGATCACCTGACAGTGTTTCAGGTATTAAATTTTGTCTTTAACAAAACTCATGTTGCATTGTACAAAAAATACAAACATATTGTCCAGAGAAAAATTATGATTGAACCTATTTTTGGAAAGTATTTAAACAAAACAAAATTAGTTTGAACTGACCAAGAGCGCAAGTAATGTGAATGACTACTAACAATTTTCAAATCACAACACTTCCCAAAAGTCTCGGAATCATTACAAAATAAGTTTTCCACTGCATGACTTGACCTGGGACTTTTAAACGCCTACACAAAACGAATCTCACATGCTACATTCAACAACAACAAGAAACAACAACAACAACAACAATATGAACTCTAGTTTGTCTTTGACGTGGCGAACACAAGTAAATAACATCGAGAGAAAAATATCGAATGAAGCTCTATTTAACTATACTGACAACGGTACGATTAGATACATGAATAACATTGAGTTACACATTACGACAAAGTAACAAAACGGACCTACTGACCTATAAGGTAATGTACATTAAGAAAATGTCTTGTGCTACAACGGAATACTTTGCGGTTTACAGGAATGTCGTAAAGTATTTTACATTTTGAACATCTTTTTATACGATAGCTGAAGAAATATAAATAATATAAATACTTGTAAATATGTTTTAATTTCTTTTAATTACTTTGTAAGATTGTATTTGAAATTTTAAAAAGTATTAAAAGGGCTATCCCGAAACAGAAAGTAAAGAATTTGTTGTTCTGACGCCGCTAGGTGCATGCCAATCTCGTACACTTTAAGGTGCGTGCACACTCAGCAACTCAGTCAGCGTCCAGCCGTGACAGCGGGAGCATTCTCGCGCTGTCCGTTTTTTCACAATTTCAACTTAAGATGAGCGCTGCGATTAAAAATCTCGCCAGTTAAGAGGTGCGGTCAGATTTTTGTTGGCAAATAACTTAAAACCGTTAGACATTAATCGCCAAGTGTAAAGGAAACAAGGTAATGAATGAAAGTTCTGAAAAAATGGTGCATTCAGATTAAAAATAGCCGATCTGACGCTTATGAATCATGACAAAGCGAAGGGTGAACGCCTGAGCATTGTGATGATGGAACTAGTCGCTAAAGTTGATGAAAAGGTTGGCGAAAAGCGCAGATTCCCGATAACTGAGCTTTCACTTTGTTGTGCGACAATTTCAAACAACAAATTCCATGAAACTTGAGGAAGTTTCGGTTTTAAGTTTTTTTCAACAAAAACTGTATCACTCACCGCACCTCTTAACTGCCAGGGTTTTTTATCGCAGCGTTCATCTTAAGTTGAAATTGTAAAAAAAAGGGCCTGAAAAAAAGGGGCAGCCCAAGAATGCTCCCGTTGTCACGGCTGGACGCCGACTGAGTTGCCGAGTGTGCACGCACCAAAATGTACGAGATCAGCGTGCGCCTAGCGGCGTTCTGACAAAACGTTCTTTATTTTCTGGATAGCCTTTATTTGTGGTTTATATTTACATAAAATATTAAATTTTAAATAAAAAGGTTTAAAAAAAAAACACACATATTGGCTGCAGGGAAACTCCAACCAAACAAACCCTAATCAAACTAAATGGTTAATACTTAATTTTTTAGATCAATATTATAAAAAAAATACTGTGGTATTTCAAATTACAGTAAAAGTGCACAATCAATTAAGAAACATATTTAGAAAGAGTGCAAAAAAATACATTTTAGTATTATTTGTTTTGTGACTTCTTTTTTGTTAATTGATTAATCTACTCGGTTTAAAACAAAATAGATACGACCAAAACTTAATTGCACTTTCTTCTGAAAATTCAAGTTAGTTCTTATACTTTTGAGTACTGTTTTGTAAAACAACAAATATTGCCATGTTATAAAAATATTTGTTAGTTGTTACATCATTCCTGTAAACTACACATATCTAATGATAGGCTAATGATTGGTGGGTCTTGTATCCTTAAATCTATTCAAAGTCTATAACTATAACAACGACACTTTACAAGCAAACTCTAGAATCCTATTCACAAAAGCTTGTCATTGTTTATTCAACTCTGTGACTGAGAAAGCTGTAGGTCCAGAAGGATTGCGTCTTTTGTCTTCGCCGAACCAAACCAATTAACAGGATCAAATAAACCTCTTGATACGTCACAAACAAACATGTTTAAAAAGCATAATTCTTTTCTTTTTATCACAGACTTTTAGCAGGATTAGTAAACATCCAAGTAATCTACGATACCCTATAATTTGCAACACAAAATCCGGGTTAAAATTCTATAAAACGTAACTTAATAAACATCTTTTACATTTAATAACAATGTTTCAAACAATATAGATTTGTTTACACACTGTGAGAGTTAAAACCCTTCAACTGATTGGGAACCCGCAGCAGAAACAGTCACAAAAAGGAAAACTTTTAGACGTTACCTAAATTTACAAGTTTCGTTACAAAACCCATCGAAATCTGCAAAACAACAAACAGAACACACTGACGACAGTATTAAAAATACTAATAAAAAAACACACATTCGGATAGTTAAATAGTTAGAATCTGATGGTAAATCCTAAGCACAGCCACGGAATAAATCAATGGAAACATACGTGATGATTGTCTCATGACAGTTGTACAGGGTGTCCAGGAAATTTGAGTAAATCGCACTATAATCTTACAAGCGTATGGAGACAGAAACTCAGCTGTCAACTATTTACCTAACAGTTTCTTATAGATTGAGAATATTTTCAACCTCTTAACATCAGCAACTAAGATTCGATTCTACAACAGCTTTTACCACTAAAACATAAATATGGTCACAAACCTTCTCTCGGTCAGTGGAAACACTGAGATTTGGACCCGTACACAGCTACTAGCGTTTACAATTCTCCGAGACTGTTTCAAAGACACCCTGTCGATAAATAAATGTTAACCGACTTTGATTGGTCGAAAACAGCGTCATACAAAAACCTTAGCTACACGACGGACGCTCGATCCTCTCTACTTATTGGACTAGAACACCGAGTCGAGGGAGAAAGACAAACATATTGTTGATTTGGTCATCTGCATCATCTTACACTACAGGGAGGCACAGGCAAGTAGAGGGAGTGGGGAGTGGGCACTTAACTATAGTATTGCTGAATCCACTCCATAAATACTGGTTTCCACATCAGTCTGAAACACAGAAAATGGAACCTTTAATAGTAATGCATTTAATTGAGAATCAATTTTATACAATCAGCAATAGACATTGGAGTCAGAACAGGAATACATTTTAGAGAGTGAAACAGGTACTTTTGCAATTGGCATTAGAATCAAAGTGGGTAAATTCAGTTGACCATTGATGCTATGTAATTGAAATCGGAATCTAAAACAATAAATTAAATTGAGAATCAATTCAATGCTATCGACTCACCTTTCTGCACAGACTGGGCTAGGAGCGCAAGTAATGCCTATATGACACTCTAGTCTGTGGCTCACTGGTGGGGGGTGGGAGAGGGGTGTGTTGTGACTGGACTGGTCTCTCCCTCCCCTTCCTCCTCCACACGAGACGACAGCAAACGCCCTTCGTAATCACGTTGGAGTGCTGCCTTTGCCTGAAAACCGTAAATGGAAAATGGAATATAGCAATTATTGTAAAACATTGCCGAGACTCGTGTGAAGTTTATGTATCATATTGAGTTGATGTCACTTGAAGGATTATTGTGGACTGAACTTGGTTCTAAGGACATTTGACAGTCGGATGTACCCATTATTGATTCTAAACAAGAACCGATGCAGTAAAAGTTAAAAAGGCAGTCTTCTGAAAGGACTCATGGCACAGGGATTAATTGGGGGTGTGTTGTACAAATAAATAGAGAGAGGTTCATGCACTTTTTTATGTTCTGGAAAAGGGTAAAATATTTAATATTTGATGGAAAGCAGTCCAAAAGGTGATGGATTAGTTCTAATGTTCTACTAAAGGTGAGAAAAAAATAAAACATCAAAAATTAGAAAAAGTTGTAAAGAAAATTAGTTTGATTTAAAACAGCAACCTTAAGTTTTATATTGGATTTCTTACCTTTGCTCTCTCTTCTTCAAGCTGAGTTTGCACTTCTTGCTGTTGTCGAAGCAACTCTTCCTTCTTCTTCTCATATATCTGCGTCAGACGAATCCTCTCATTCACTCCCTTCTCCACAATTGTGCTTGCCACTTCCCGCTTCATTCTGATAGGACAATTGTTTCCATTAGATTCAGTAAGGAAACACTCATTCTACTGTGCCCGAAATACTTAGCATGACAAGATGGCAGGAAGTCAGTAGAATGGGACTTTTAAAGGAGAGGTTTTGGAAGTAATGTCTGCTGTGCTAGATTTTACAGAGCGAAATAAGTTGAGTCAGTCTATACTAAAAAAATGTTTGGCTGAACACATAACTATGAAAATGAAATAGAACAGGTACATCTAATTGCAGTTAAAAGTAAAAGGGAGATATTTTTAATGAAATTTATTTAGGCTTGGTACACCTTTAGTGTGAGTTCAACAGCTGATTAAAATAGCTAAAAATAAACATAACTTTTTGTTTAAAAGTAATATACCTCAACTGATTAATACACCTACTAGTCGAAGAGTGCATAAAGAGACTGAATTTAATTTTGTTAAGATTATTGGGAAAGTTTTCTTGGATTATAGGACATAGGTTAAGCATGTTATTTTCGGTTATCCGTTCAGGTGACCTGACAGACCGACACTCTTAAAAGCCAACTGTATATTCAACAAAAATCACAGCTTTTTTCAAAACTTTTCTATAATACTCAGGTGTAAATCTAACTATGAAAACAACACCAAGAGCTTATTTTCGGTAAATTCAATATAGATACATAATTTTCTGTCGCTGACCTCATGACCTCATCCTTGTCCTTGTGCACTTTGGCCAGTTCTTTGACCTCACTACGTCTCACAGCTTGTAATCTCCTCATCACATCTCCAGTCTCCTTCTCCAGCAGCACTCGCAGCATCTTCAGCTGGTTACTCTGTGACGTCTTCATTGCCTTTTCAGCGGCTGCAAAGATCTACAGCACCAAGTGATTTAAAAAAAGTATTAATATGTCACTGGCATGGATAGAAAAAAAAAATAAAATAGCAGTTTTTTTACAGCACATTAGTTGCATCAAGTTATCCCCAGTGTTTTTGTCATTGGCACAGATGCATTTAATTAAAGTGGTTTACACTTCTCAAAGTATTAGCAGCAATCAAAACTTGCATCAGGATTCAGTAAACTCTTTTTAATCAGGACAAACTGACGTTATAAGTTGTCCAGATTAATGAAAGTACAAATAAAATCGAATAATTAATCTCTATAAAAGAAAGGCAGCACATCACAGACCCTTTAAGTAGTAGTTGAATGTAAGGAGACACTTTGTAATAGAGGGAAATGAGTGATGTGTTCTATACTTGAATATCAGAAACAGTAGTTGTGTGCTAAAATGCTCAGTACCAAATATTAAATATGTACACCTCTAACACTCCTTCTGCCTGCATCATTGCACTGAGTCACAATCACTTGCACAATTCATAATGAAGATTGCGTACAAATAAACTCTTTAAAGGTTGAGAGTCAAAACTGGGGTTTCAAAATGGTATGCCTATTTTCTTAAAATAAATTGATGAATGCAACCAAACATACCAGCTCATGGTACTTTTCCCTGAGTTCCCTCTCTTGCGCAATATGCTCCCTGTTGATGGCCAGTAGCCTCTCCGATTGGCTGCGAGGTAGTCTCATAGCGACAGACTCTCCCTCGCACTCAGAACCTTCCGACACCTCGCTGGGTGCTGCTGGCGTCTCACTGCTGCCAACACAACAAATTCAAACATCAAATCAACCAACAACAGTAAAATCTTAGGCCTACTCAATTGAAATCAAAGACTTTACTAAATATCTTTAACCAAACATTTATTTTTATACCTGGTTACATTCTAACAGAGGACATTACCTTTTCATGCACAGCTGTCCTTCGCATGATCCCATTGGCCCAGGGTAAGCGACACAATTCATAATATATCTAATGCAACAAACATAAACACTGCAGTAAAGGAAGAAAATATACATTGAAAAGTAAAAACATTAAACAAAAATTAAAATTAAAATTACAACAAAGTTGAGTAACAGGAAGTAGACAAGAAGTAAATGCAAATCGGGATTGGTAATTATGTTTGAGCAAGCAGCATACAAAAAAGGTGCTTAAAATCAAAAAATTATAAACACAGTGCTAGATTTAGGCTACTTTAGACACTAGGCCAAATAAAAACAAGTGGCACTAGTCACTTAGGTAGAGTTTCCCTACAATCGCAGCAGAATCGTGAACAAATCACAAGCACGGGGACGTTATCATCGTCACCCGCAATCAAGGCAACGAATTATTGCTTTTAGTAAATAAATATAAAATTTTTATCTAAAAACTTTTTTGTAAGAAACGCTGCGGCCACTTTTGCTTGCTTTTGCTAGGCTGTGGCCTAGTGGAAAATTCAGCACCTCACAAACACATTGCCTAGGCTATAGTAAAAATACCAACATCCATAAGTAAAGGAGTCTATGTATATTAAACTAGGCCTATCATTTTGTCTTGGAAAAAGAATCACACGACCCTAGCTACTTAAACAATTCACAACAGCCAAGAGTCATTAACTTGAAGTCATCGACTTACATGTTCTTACTGGATAATCTCTTCACTAGTTTGTTCCCCATGTAAAATTTTGATTTGCTCTTCTCTGAGTCGGAGGAAGACTTCTGAGACTGTATTCTACTTCTTTCCTGCAACAAAAGTAAAAGTAGAAAATTAGCCATGCCACTTGCAGCACCAGAGATTATTGATAACCTCAATAATCACAATTTCTTATAGTATATTTATACTGCGGTACTTTGGTAATATTCGGAGACCAACCTTATCCAGCGCGTTAAGGTTGGGTAATCGTTATCATAAATGGGAAAAACATACTTTAATTAACTTACTGTCCAAATTTGACATGATTATTAGCGGCCTTTGAGTTCTGCCTCGCAGAAGGCAGGGATGTCGGCGAGGAAGGAGTTGAATGCGTCTCCGCCCCTGGCTGCCACACCAGAAACAGGCGATGACAGGTGATGCGCGCAGTCTGGTCAACGACCTCACCTTGGCCTACTTGGAGGGGATTTGGCGAGCGAAAGTATGACTCATCTGGTATTGTTTGATTCATAATGGAACGAGGAAAGTCCTACAAACATATTTACGATAACCCAACCAAACATAACCTCCACAGCGCGCTGTATAAGGATGCCCTCCGGATACGACCAAAGTACCTATATTACCAAAACAAAATTTGATCATTTAAACCGTTTTTTATTGTACCTATTTATGGTTTAGATAAGTCTAAAGTGGCAAAATGCCTGATTTTACAAAATCACAAAGAAACAATCAATCCTGTCAACTTTTCCCCAAGCTGTCCATAATTTATCTCAAAGAGTCTCTCACACCCAGCTCTGTAACAGATGTAACTCCTTCTGAGTTACAAACAAGAATAGACCATGACGTTAGTCCATCCCTGCATCTGCTGGCATGGGAGACAGTGTCTTCCAGCTCGGCCGCCTATGACACTAAAGTACTGGTAAACATAACACCCTAGCGTAGTTCTAAGCTTGACTCTCAGGTCGCAGCATATATCAGGCTTTATAGCTATACTCTATAGCTTTCAGACATTTTAATTGTCCTCACTCAAGATTGTTGTATGCAAACTTAGTTTAAGTTACATTACTTTTGATGTTTAACATATCCACCTTTTAAGCTTAAAAGCTTTTCAAAATGCTCTTACAATCTGCTACTAAAAATTAACCTTATATAATTGGGATTAAATTAATGTACCTTTTCGTGCTTCTTTTTTAAGGCTTCCAGTTTTTTATCCAGTTCCGTTCTCTTTTCCTTGACGACTTTGTTCTCCATTAGCTTTTCCAAAATGCTCTTACAATATGATACTAAAAATTAATCTTATATAATTGGGATTAAACTAATGTACCTTTTCGTGCTTCTTTTTTAAGGCTTCCAGTTTTTTATCCAGTTCCGTTCTCTTTTCCTTGACGACTTTGTTCTCCATTAGCTTTTCCAAGGACTCAGCGACCAGCTCATCACTCACTAGGAATAAAAAACGATCAGAATTCACTAATTTGACGGTAGAGCATTCAGGTAAAATCTCAATTTATTCATGTTTATTTTTATAGTTATTGTTGGTGTTTTATTGAGTTATTGTTGTTTATTGTTTAGTTGTTTTTGTTGTTGTTGGCTACTTTTATACAGAAAAGTGATCTATAGTCTTAACAATAGTCAAAGCTACTCCATATTAGCTCATTCAGCTGCAGCTGGTATTTAGACGAGGGAGTGTTACTCACAGCACAATGGTGATTGTTGTGGACTCTTGGTAGTGGGGGGATGCTCCACCGGGGGTATGACAGGGGTAGGTTCTTCCATGTCTGCTACTGCTAGGAGGGTGGCGGGGGCAATAGACAACCTGTGGACACCAACCCCTGCGGATACTGCAGGTGCTGATGACATCTCTGGCACCTGATCAACAGAACTTACATAAGTTAATAGGCTTAACATACAGGCTTGTTTGAAGCCTAGGTTCAATAGTGTGTGATGTTTCATTTACAGTTTTAATTGCTTCATTTGGGACTTAAGCAGCACCGCATTACAAATGCCAGTTTACTGAGTGCCCGCTAAAATAGCCGCAGTTCTTAGGGTAAAGGAAATACCACTTTAGAGTTGGAAGCTATTAAGTAACAAGCAATTGTCTCTATCACTCCATCAATTATCAATCATTGAGATGGGGACGCCACCTAGGTGCGTATTTTGACCCAAATATGAGTGAAGGATGAGTGTAGAATGGTGTGAGACGATCTGTGTGCTTTGTTACTGAATAAGATCAGCTGTTCTTAGCTCATCATAAGAACATAAGATCATTCATTTAAAGCCCAATGATCAGGAACAGCTGAGTCTAGTTTTGAACCATCAAAAAGCTACCGACTTCTCAGGATTGAACCGGCGACCTTTTGATTGTTAGGTGAGCACTTTAACCAATCGGCCACCTATCATAGTTAGGTGCACCACAACTTAGCCGATTGCCCCTAGACTACACTAAATGAAGGGTTATTCAGGAAAAATAATTTAGACCATTACTGGATTATTGAATGTGCAGAGTTTTACTGTATTCAAATAATGAATGTAATGTTGGTAGCACTGACCATAGACTGGGCCCGAGGCTTGACCACCCTGACTGGTCCACTGGTGCTGACAGTACTGCCAACCTCAGGGGTATCTCCTGGACCTGCGCTGCTCTGCTGAGAAAAAGATCATATTACGATCTTACATTATAGACAAAATGCACAGTGGTATATCACAAAATACAAATGCAATAATGCTCAAATAATGCAAGTATATTGCATTTGGAGCTAAGAGATTAGTTTCAGGCAGTTGTGGTTAATGTACTCTGAAGTATGTGTTTAAATAGATTGTATATGTGATATTGGCAGATAAAGCTATGAATAACCCTTACCCGATAACCAAAGAGCCATATTTCACCAGATTATAATAAATGTACAGATCTTCCCACAGTAGGCCTACTTGAGTACTTTTTATGCACAGATTAGGCATATACACAAAATTTACAAAAATTTCAAATTCTGATTAGGTTTAGGATTGCGTTATGAAAAAAAATTATTTAGACCAAAGACTATAAGACCCAGATGCCATTTGGTATCAAGACCAAAATTCGTTTCTTTGTACAAAAAAGATTTCCAAAGGCATCGATACAAATTAGAGAATTCTTAGGTAAGGTAAACTTTAAGATGTTCTGAACGGCATAATGATGAGGCTATGTTAGATATGTAAATGCAGGTAAAACCACAAACTTTTTCTACGAATATTTGAAAAACTTTTGCAACTTTTCTTGTTCAGAACCTCATAAATATTTAAAACCACTAGATGGTTTCTATATAAAATTTTACCAAGTTTTCTCTGAACTACGTACCTCGTTGTCCACGTCAGCGTCGTCAGTGAACACGCTGAGTTGTACAGCCCTCTTCTCCTGCTCACTCTGATACTTGATGGGGTTAGCAAGAGCCTCGGCAAAGTCACTGAGTCCATCTGGCACGTAGTCCTGTCAAACAATACTCGAAGTTATGTCACACGCAAGTCTTCAACATTCTAGTTATGTTTAGAAGTCATTTAATGAACACACTCTCGTAGTAGTGAAATTGCGCTAGGTCAACTAACTGTAGAAATGTGTTTTCATAAATAATTGTCAAAATACAATTTGAAATGAGTTTTAAGGCTCCAAGATTAATTCAATCAACTACAATAAAAACAACATTTAAGTCGACTTTTAACAACTTTTTTATCACTATAGTTCGGCCGCTTAGAAAACGACCTGCGCGCTAATGCTAAACCAATGCTGGAGGAGGTCGCTTACTAAGCGGCCGAACTATAGTTTTGAAGCTCCATTGATCCATTTCTAAGATATGATATCAAACAAAACACATGCCGTCATGAATGCTACTAGTGACATTGTTCACTAAACATTATTATTTTGAATATTGGACAGTCAAATTAGAACTATAAATCTAAAAAAAATAGTAATTTGTAAAAAATATAAAGGAAATAGACGACAAAAACATTTATAACCTTAACCTACTCTACTGTAGCTACTGTAAAATGAATACATTTTTTCATCCCCTCACTACCTAACCAATGACTTAAATTCCCTCACTAGCCACTACCCAAACAATGGTTTAAATATAGCCCCAGTAATCGAACAATGGTTTTTCATCCCTTCACTACCCAAACATCAACGTACCTTGACCACGATGAGGAGGAACAGTGTAGCCAGTGGGAGAGGTTGCCCTCCCTCTGTGCGCAGAGACACGTGTCTGTAGCCTGGACACAGACCTACGACAGGCAACACTCTGTGGCCGATAAACTTGCCACTGTCTTCATACGCTGTGATGCGTATCACAGCTAGCTCTGGCAATACCACCTGACAACAAAGTGAACGCATTAGGTGAATACATAACATATCACTGCTTAACACATGTTATTGGATAGTTCCTGTTTTACAAAGAGAAATTTTCAAAGCGGTTTTGCTTGAATAGCACATTTTAACCTCAAAAGCCCCCCTTCCTTATATCGATCTACAGTAGAATCCCGGTTAACAGAAACAAAGGGGGAGAACCGTTTCGGATAACCAATTTTTCGGTTAACCCGTCATATACTAAAAATAGCCTATGTATTACCACAATGAGTTGGTAAATAGATTTAAAACAATGTCTATTACAGTATTTTATTTTAGCTACAGAAACGTTAGAATGGGTTAGAAAATACTTTAAACTAAACAACTGAAGTTACTAAAGCATTGGTATTACTTATATTTTAGCCTTGTATTTTTTTATGGAAGCGTTTAGGTTAACCCGGGTTTTGGTTAACCCGAATTTGTTTAACTTGATTTCTACTGTACTTGAATTTCATGGCGTCTAAAAAACCTTTAGTATATAAATGATAGCTAGTGTTTTGATTTTTTTTGTGACTATACCAATGGATTTTTAATTGAAAAGCATAAACATTTTTAAAGGACGTGGTCTAAGCCCCTGTTATTTTTGTGGATAGGCATTGAGCCTGTATCTTTCCCCATAGTCCAAGAGGCTAGCCACGAGCCTAGCAACACAACAAGTTGTAAGAAGCCTGTCATAGTCGTCAGCTGATCTCTTTCAGTAGATGATCAATGACTTGAACAAAATAAAAGACTGGAGGTGACAGACCACTTGATGTATTTATAATGAAAAGGAACACACCTCAGGGCCTAGTGGTTAGAGCTTTTATAATTTTTAAATATTTATTAAAGATTTTATGAAAAAAGTGATAGCAGGAGACCCAAGATTGAAGATAAGGTAGCCAAAGACATGAGAATGAAGAGGTACAGGATCGTAGAAAAGTGAGAGAGGACACTCCAACGTCTGCAATTTCAACTTGAGCATTTGTAGTAACTAAATAGGGCAGTGAAAATTTACCTTTTTGAAAACAAAAGGTTCCTCGTCATAGACAGGGTTGATGCCGTTGTTAGGAACTATCTTGGTGCGGAACTTCTTTCTTACAGTATCAGCAGGCAATCCGTACATGTCCACCTCAATGTACGTCCCAGCTCTCTTGTCAGTCAGAAACTGACCGGACAGCACCTGGAATTATATAATAAAATCAATGATCAATAATCATTTATTGTCACTTGACAGTTATTATTCTAATATTACAATACAGTATAAGCATGCAATAGACCTTTCAGATGGCAAGTAAAATGATGCCAAAAACTAAGAAATTATAATAGTAATCCATAACACACAGAATAAAAATTACAGAATAAAAAATATCGATTCGGCTGATGTAACAGCCATCGATATACAATATGTTGTCATATACAAGTTTACATTAAATATTAATAGATCCAATGAAGTGCAATATTGTTAAAATCACTTACAAACTTGAATTTTTTGTTTAATCATAATGGCTGGTAGTTTTATATGTTCTTAGAAGTGTAGTACATTGTTTCTTAATACATGATTTTTTCAGAGATAATTTTTTTCTAGTACCTATAGGGAATAACTTATTATGTTAAAAAGTATTATGTTATGTGATGAATTATTGTGTATCTATTAGTTTATGATTTCCATCCATAGCCATGATTGATCCGATATTGCACAATCAAGAACAAACTATTTGAAACTTGACAGGTTATAAAAACATACTACTTTTGTTAAGCCTATTTTGTTAATATACAAAACTAGCACACCACTGGCAATGTCCTTTAATACATGGCCGTGACCAACAATCTTGTAACCTTAGCCACTCTCCCATTTACTCACCACAGTCACTTCTCGACTACTAACACACGTAATCAGCCAAAAGCTCTGTGTTATTATTGTTACACTATGGCTACGTTACACCCATTCATGTACAAACAAAGATTGTAAGGTTTGTACATAGACAATCACAAATCACACCTTCGAAATGTCTATGTTTGTTAATTAATTGTGATTTGTTTTAATTTGTGACACACTCTTGATAACAACAATGATAAAAAGCATTAAGCATTGGAATTGGAAACCCCCTCAACCGACACTACCCAACCACACTACCAGCAGTGCTTTCAGCAGTCATTTGCCTTGTGATGGCTGCCTTGGTTGGGTTGTAGTGTCTTTTTATATGTCCTTGATAGTTGGTTTCTTGGAACGCATACGTCAAACTTATGTGTCAATACTCTTTGTGTATAGTAAAATGGCCGGCATTTTGTCAAATTTATGTATTGATACCTTAGGGTCACGCTATCAACTAAATTATCATCACGTTATCATGTATGACGATACCTTACTATATGCAAATCATATGTTGGTATAATTTACGTATTGATACCCTTAGTGTCACAGTGTATGACGATACCTTACTATATGCAATTTATATGTACGTCAAATTTAGGTATTGATACCCTTAGCATCATACTGTATGATAGAGGATTCATTTCTAGGGTAACTGTTTGTTTCAGTTATCAGGTTACATCTCAATTTGTAGCCGATTTAAGACCTTTCATAAACTTTATCTTGATTCCAAACACTCAAATTTTTTTCAGCTTTATTCACATTTCCATCACATCCGATGTCGTATTTCTATAACCTATTACTGTGATCCTTACTACGGACTTATGTATATATAAAATAATAAATTAAAAAATATCCAATAGAAAACAACGTTTATTGAAAAAGGTTTCATAGTTGATGCCCCAGGATCTCCTAAGTCAGGTGTTTTGTTTCTTGATACGTCTTTCAATTCAATTTGAAAACTTTCTATGGTTCCTGTTGCTTAGGCTAATGATAGGTTATGTTTCGTCAAGGTTGGGTATTTTTGTCAAGGTCGGGTATTTGTTGTCAAGGTCGGGTATTTGTTGTCAAGGTTGGGTATTTGTTGTCAAGGTTGGGTATTTGTCTCCACATGGTGTTTCTTTTCGTTGCTGCATTTCAAATCTCTGCTTCATTTTTCCTTCCTCTGCAGCACCTTCACCCCCAGATGTTGTGGGGGTGGGAGGAAGGTCTTGTCAATCTATTAGAGCAGGTGATTGATGAAAGGAGCTGGTGGAGGTGGTCAATCTATTAATCTAAATCTAATAACTGCTCCAAAATCCAACCTATTGTCACGCCAAAACCCACAGCTGCTAGCACCACCAGAATACGAATCACGTCCATTGCTTGTTTACTGTTCAGAAATATTCAACTAGAGTAAATTTTTATTGATGCCACTTGTAAGATATATCTCTGTAAAATGATTTGTCTCTATGGATACTTAGTTCTTTGTTGTATTTTAATTTTGTCTATAGCAACTACTAATATATCTAATGGAAGTGAGTGGATTTTAAAATGTTTACCTACCGGTACAAACTTTAATCTGATACCCCCGCCGCAGCAAACCTGCAGACCAAGCAAATTTTAACTTGTCTGATTAAATTTTTACTAAAATAAGACAAACTTATTCCCAATTTAAATAACATTAGATTCAACGAGTGCTTAGGTTTGCTGCTACGGGGAAGGTAAAATGTGTCTTTTGACGATACGTCAGTAGTATAGGATAAAATAAATATATTTGCCAAATGTTATCAACATCCATAAACAAGTTAACTACAAAACAGTTTTCATTTTCTCCATAAGAATTGAAATGGGAATTTAAAATTACACTTTTTTTTTAATTTTCTCTGCGGCCAAAGGCATACAATGGTGCTTCAATTTACTAAATTATTTCTTTTTTAAGCTCTACAAAATGGTTTAGGAAGAAATTGAAGAACTTTTTGCTTTTAGGGTCAAAAATTGGTAAAACCCATTTTTACCCCATAAAACCCCATTCCCATGGTCCGATTATGTTGGTTCGCGAACTCGTTTGAATAAACGTAGGTTTACACGTTTGTAACAAAATTTCATATAAATACAGTATATATATGCTAATATTTATAAGCATTATAACTTTCTAAGATTAAGCTAGCAGAACAATGGATCTTTTTTGCCAAAAAATCCTAAAACGTTTAGTTTGAAATCAATGAATTTCTATCTGAATTTACAAACGTTTGGTTATTTTCAGATGGACAAATTTCTTACATATACATATCTGATTGTTGAAAATTAATGAAAACAAGCTAAATTATGCCAACAAGATTTTTGGGATGCCATAACCAATGATCATACCTGGACAGATACAGTGCCAGCGATGATGCCATCCACAGTGGACTCAGCGAAGGGATCGAACCTGCGATCTCTACGCCTCATGAACTCCGGCTTCAGCAGGTATCCGCTACGATGGTTGTACTCAAAAATGCCCAGATTCAGCTGCATCGCTAGGTCTGGGAATGGAGAAGAAATCATCAATATAGTGAGATATTTAGGTTATACTTTTAAAGGAATACCGTTTAGCTTATTGAGGAGCAGCTTATTTGTTTGGAAAAAGAGTTTTTTTTTCTTCAATCATATCTGTGAGTATTTGAGTCCAGAAGTTGTAGATAGACAAAAATCACATAATTATGAGAGTTATGTTGTGTGTATCTATTAGGTTCCAACATGTTTGCTACTGAGCGTCGCATATATGCGACGCCGCGGTCATTGCCACAGACCGAGGTATACATTTGAATCTTACACACAGACCGGCTGTCACTTGGATAACAGTACACAGACCACGGGCGAAAACCTGTAACAGTGATCATTTACATTGTAATACGCTACAATCGTGTTTGTAAATAATGTATTCTTGTTTTTTTGTATTATTAATAACCTTTTTTAATGTCCCATATTTGCGACGCCCGGTCTACAGCGAAGACAACAGTGAAAATTATCATAGCTTTCTTGAAATAGACCAAACTTCGCATATATGTGACAGTTCATTTTTTGTGTTTTGAGGTGAAAGTAAGTAAAATAAAAAACAGATTGATCAAGAACAGTTTATAACTGAACAAATATAAAAGCTACATAGGATAATTCAGCATACATACTGCATACATACAAACAGTGATGCAGAAAAGTAAAGACCAGTTTTTCCAACTATCATATGACGTCACCAATCATCATATCCACAGACCAAGCGACGCAGTTGTGCGTCAGACATCTCTGCAGACCACTGCAGGTAAATCAGTGCCTTCAAATAGACCGTTACAAAGATATAAGCATTTTAATAACATTAGAACCCCGACGCAAATATCAAATATGCGACGGCAGCCTATTTTAATGTGACTAGCCGACGCATATATGCGACGGCAGTCTATGGGTGGAACCCGGCCGACGCATATGTGCGTCGCTGGTCCACGTGAATGAAAAATTTCGTAGTATTGCAGTAGCGAACGTGCTAATCTAAAATTGGCAATATATTCAAAAGATGGTCAGATTTGTAAAAGAGTGACACTGAAAATCATCGAAACAGAGTTAGTTTATGGTTACCCGTGAATTTTACCTCGTTTTGAGTGTATGGAAATAGTTTGATTAACACTCAATTATGTATCTTCTATCTTGCACAACTGATTTTGATAAATCGATGAATTTGTGGATGCGTTGTATCACATCTACACTCACCCTTCATTTACATTCAGCTTGAAATACTCACAAAAAGTGTGTCAACGTGGGACAAAATAATTGAGTTTGACTTTATAATATCACCTGTCACCTCAACTCACCTAGTGTTTGGTAGTTGAGGGCCACTAATTGACACCCTGCGTTCCAGAACACCTGAGGCATGAAGTTGGAAGAGTCGAACCTAGTCCCGGCAGGATATATCCGGCTCAGCTGATGCTTGTTGTAGTTGACAAACTCTATCGGATGTTCCTTCAACAGCGTCGTGGCTTGCTTCTCGTCAAACGAAGACATCTCGTAGTAACGGTTTTTTTCTGTTACGTTAACACATTGATATAAAATAATAAGCATAGAAATATTATCAATATTGTATACAGATGCATCATTTGCAGAACAGTTTTTTCATAAAGTTCAATGCCATAGCTACTTCAACGGTTATTGGTTTTACAAATATGTAAACAACTTTACTAGCAGCTTCCTATCCAAAATTAGATTAGTCATCAAAGGACATGCCCTGTTGGGATGCCTCACTTCCTAAGAATCTCTTATAAGATTAGGACGGATTATTCTCTTTTTTTACCCACAATGTACAATGGGCTATATGATAGCTTATAATCAGTTACACACAGAAAACATTAAAAAATTTGTCAAAAGAAAATGTTTAGTAAGTTAACATTGTTCTAATAATTTATTTTTGTAAAAAAATACAACCGACTTCAAACGCTTTAAAAAGAAGGAAATAATTTCAATAAAGTAAACTTTTGTATTAGGCAAGCTCACGTATTTTAAGTCGGCGCGGCTCTATGATGATTTTTGATACAAAATTGAAAGAGGGTGTCCATATTGCAGGTGACTATAACTAAAGTTGCTAATCTGCATGTCTTTTTCATAGTTATGCGTTAAGTGTTATTTTATTACCGTAATCAGAGATCGGCATTATAGTGGTATTAACGAGCATCTTTAATAAGATTATAACGCATTTGAATGTTTCTAACATGGAAAAGTAACGTTTTAATACCAAACTAGCTTCTTTTCCCTATCATAATATCAAACTAAATTATTTTCCTATTCATATAGAACATAAGTGTGTGTTATTTTCATAATATATTTATTCTGAAGTAAACATAAAAAAAAAGAAAATATTTCCTTTAATATATAAACAAAACAGTTCAGTATGTTTTTATATATTTATGTTATCCAGCTACAATTTATTGATTTTCAAAATACACACACAATATTTAATTTCAATCATATTTGCAGTTTGAGCCGCGCCGACTTGAAATACGTGAGCTTGCCTAATACACAAAAGTTTACTTTATTGAAATTATTTCCTTCTTTTTAGAGCGTTTGAAGTCGGTTGTATTTTTTTACAAAAATAAATTATTTCATGATTTTTAGTGACTGTATAATTTTTTATATATCAATTACTTGAGGTTGTTTTGACAGGCAAAACTGTTTGAAACAATCAAAAGTTCCACAGAACAATCATTATTTTAAAACTGCTTTAGTCACCTGTTCAGGTTACATAATCAATGGGTATGAAAATAAAAATTTTTAGATATTCCTTAAGAAAGAAAGAGTTGTCCATTACATTAGGCCTAATGAAAAACTAATTGTCTTTTCTAGATACATTGAAATGTCAGACATCATTGTTTCCTGCAATCAGTGTACTTCTACATTATAAAAAGAAATACAGTAACGTCTCAAGCCTTTTGGAACAATACGAAAGTTATTCCTCCAGTTTAGCTACCAGCACTAAAAAATCTCTCAAAAGTGGAAAATTGGTCGTTAACACCATAGTACCTTTCGTATAGTACCTTTGGAAAATATTATATGAAAGATTGGTTCAGCTAAAAGTGGTGTAAGTCATGTAGGGGGTTTTGTTTGCTCAAGATATAGCCTAGTCGAAATTGCAAATCATCTTCCTCTAGGACTTTCCGAAGCAGGCATAATAGTATTGATATGTTATAGTAACTGGGTAGAGAATATTAATAAACATTCCACATCTGTAAATGAAATATGTATATGAAAGATTGGTTCAGCTAAAAGTGGTGCAAGCCATGTATAGTCCAGGACCTGACTAGGGTTCTGTGTGCATGTCGTGTATAGAGAATTTTGCTTTTGCATTTCAATATAGGTGTCTTAGGAAGTGTTTTCCACTCGGGTGTCAAGTTCGCACCTGGTACGTTTTCGAGCTATGACGTCATAAAGATGGCGGCTCGGCAATTTTTAAATGCGTATATTTCGCAAACCGTTTAACGGATCGGTATGATTCTTTTTTTGTTTGAAAGATATTTTTACAAACTATCTTTTTTGTATTTACACATTTGTTGTAAACATAATATTCACCGCACAATATTGAAAAACGTTGTTTTTATTGTTATTATATTTATTGTTTTGCTTATAATTTCTTAACCGCTGATAAAATCAAATACCACCCGTGGCAAAAGTTTCAGATAATTCTATACCCTTTCCAATGATACCAAACAATATGTGATTGGACCTAAAAATAAAGCAAAGAGATTGAATAAACCGTAAAAAAACACTGAAAGTGGTGTACGGTCCGGGAAAGATTTAGTCCTGGACATGACTAGGGTTCTGTGTGCATGTCGTGTATAGAGAATTTTGCTTTTGCATTTCAATATAGGTGTCTTAGGAAGTGTTTTCCACTCGGGTGTCAAGTCCGCGCCTGTTTCGTTTTCGAGTATGACGTCATCAAAATGGCGGCTTGGGCAATTTTTAAATGCGTATATTTCGCATACCGTTTAACGGATCGGGGTGATTCTTTTTTTGTTTGAAAGATAATTTTACAGGAAATGTTTTTTGTATTTACACTTTTGTTGTCAACTTAATATTTATCTCACAATATTAAAAAACGTGGTTTTTAATGTCATTGTTTTTGAAATTTACCTCATAACTTGTTAAACGCTTATAGAATGAAATAACTACCCATTACAAAAGTTGTAGATAATTTTATGCCCTTTCCAACGATACCAAACAATTAATGTTTGAAACTAAAATTAAAGCCAAGAGATTAAATAAACCGTTAACAAACACTTAACATGTCAGAAAGTCCGGAAAATATTGCGGCTGGAACAATTCTTTAAATGCGTATATTTCGCATACTGGTTAAAGAACCGGGATGATTCTTTTTTTGTTTGTAAGATGTTTTTTAAGCCTATCATTTTTGTATTTACACCTTTGTTGTTAACCTACTATTTGTCAAAAAGTTATTAGCAAAAGTAAAATAAAAATAACAATTAAATGTACATTTATTAATATTGTGGGATAAATAGTAGGTTAACAACAAAAGTGTAAAGACAAAAAAGATAGGCTTAAAAAATATCTTACAAACAAAAAAAGAATCATCCCGGTTCGTTAACCAGTATGCGAAATATACGCATTTAAAGAATTGTTCAAGCCGCAATATTTTCCGGACTTTCTACCATGTTACGTGTTAGTTAATGGTTTATTTAATCTCTTGGCTTTAATTTTAGTTTTAAACAATAATTGTTTGGTATCGTTGGAAAGGGCATAAAATTATCTACAACTTTTGTAATGGGTAGTTATTTCATTCTATAAGCGTTTAACAAGTTATGAGGTAAATTTAAAAAACAATGACATTAAAAACCACGTTTTTTAATATTGTGAGATAAATATTAAGTTGACAGCAAAAGTGTAAATACAAAAAACATTTCCTGTAAAATTATCTTTCAAACAAAAAAAGAATCACCCCGATCCGTTAAACGGTATGCGAAATATACGCATTTAAAAATTGCCCAAGCCGCCATTTTGATGACGTCATACTCGAAAACGAAACAGGCGCGGACTTGACACCCGAGTGGAAAACACTTCCTAAGACACCTATATTGAAATGCAAAAGCAAAATTCTCTATACACGACATGCACACAGAACCCTAGTCATGTCCAGGACTAAATCTTTCCCGGACCGTACACCACTTTCAGTGTTTTTTTACGGTTTATTCAATCTCTTTGCTTTATTTTTAGGTCCAATCACATATTGTTTGGTATCATTGGAAAGGGTATAGAATTATCTGAAACCTTTGCCACGGGTGGTATTTGATTTTATCAGCGGTTAAGAAATTATAAGCAAAACAATAAATATAATAACAATAAAAACGACGTTTTTCAATATTGTGCGGTGAATATTAAGTTTACAACAAATGTGTAAATACAAAAAAGATAGTTTGTAAAAATATCTTTCAAACAAAAAAAGAATCATACCGATCCGTTAAACGGTTTGCGAAATATACGCATTTAAAAATTGCCGAGCCGCCATCTTTATGACGTCATAGCTCGAAAACGTACCAGGTGCGAACTTGACACCCGAGTGGAAAACACTTCCTAAGACACCTATATTGAAATGCAAAAGCAAAATTCTCTATACACGACATGCACACAGAACCCTAGTCAGGTCCTGGACTAGTAGGTGGTTTTGTTTGATCAAGATATAGCCTAGTCGAAATTGCAAATCATCTTCCTCTAGGACTTTCCGAAGCAGGCATAATAGTATTGATATGATATAGTAACTGGGTAGAGAATATCAATAAACATTCCACACCTGCAAATGCATGTTTAGTAATTAAAATATTTAACACTTTTAAGACAATTAACGATTATGCACTGTCACACTTCTTAGGTCGTGTAAGGAAAAATTGCATTTAATTTATATTTAGACCTGTTTTACAAATGCTTTGGTTTTCACAATACACCTTTATTTGTCAATATCATACAGCTATTCACTGAAACATATATGTTTGTTTAAGTCAGAATATTCAATACTAAAAACAGAATTACTGTATACACAAATCAGATCAAACGTTAAAATACATTTTTTATAGTAACCAAAACAAAATGCATGGCAAGAAATAGTTTATTGATCAATATGAAGCAACTGTTTCATGAAGAATTGTCTCTAGCTTCATTTAAATGGTTTCAACTAACAGCTGTAGGAATGTTATCATTATTTATTGCCTTCTCTGCACAAATGTAAACAATCTGCACAAATGTAAACAAAATAAATGTTGAATATTTAAGGTTTTCAGAATTTTTCACCGAAACAAATATTATACTTAAACATAATATATAAGGTACCAAATAGAAACTCTCCTGGTTATTTTGGTGGTGAAACCACACTGATCGGTAAAAGAATCACAGAGAAATTGGTGAACATACATAGAAAAAAAAACATCGCCACAAACAAATTGAGAACCTCCTCCTTTTGTTGGTAGTGGGGAAGTCGGTTAAAAATCTGATGAAACGCTAAATACGAATATTTTCATATCAATTCCCAAAGATTACTCACTCTCTGAGACCTCGAAGGACGTGAAGTGTACAGGCTGCACGTAGTTGACTAGAGCAGATATCTCCGCCACAGCCTCCGTCTCCTTAGTTGTAGACACTTTGTCCGGAGGTTTCTCTTGCAACTGCATCTTCATCTCCGACACACTGGCACCTTCCTCTTCTTCCCCACTACTGCTGCTGCTGCTGTCTTCATCTGTTGGATTAGATACAACGCTGAGATACTAGGTTGTGTATTAAAAAGATCAGCTAGTTTAGAGAGGATCATTAAAAGCGCAATGATTAAGGATAGAGGGGTCCAGTTCTGTACCATTAAAAAGCTTCTACGTTTGATCCACTGTAAATACAATTGCCACTGGATTATCCAACACGCTTTGATTATTGATAGAACTAGATATGTCATACCCATGGTAAGGTTGTAGCCTGTTTTAGAGTGGACATGGGCAAAGGTTGTAGTTATGGATAGCAAACAGTACAGTAAGTTGATGTCAGTTAATGATTTTTGAAGAATTCGCCAACTTTTTAAGTAAAAAAGCTGAAAGAAACACTTTCTGTTAGCTATACCATCTGGCATGTCACATAATTTATCAAAGTACCAAAAAATGAGAGGATGTAGAATTTGGCTAAAGCTGATCCATATAGATGGGGTGTCACCTATGAAATACCAAAGTTAGTGATTATATTCTAAAATATTTGTTGATCTTAAGCTGCACTTAGGCCTAATGAGTTATCGGCTGATACCTATTAGCTATTATTAGTACAGTATTGGGATTTGATTTGTGTGGAGACATAAGTCCCAAATTTTGTTGTAATTTCTATGGTTGGTGAAGAGTTGTCACAAAAACACTAATTTGTGTATTGAAATACTCAATGTGAATTTCCTGACACAAAGTTGTTACATTGTTGTGGACTTACCATTGTCGTCCTCTTCTTGTCCACTGTCTTTGCTGCCTTGCCTCACGGGTCCCACATGCTGTACGTCTCCATTGCCTGCTGCCACTTTCCCACTGGCCACTGACTTCTTGTGATGTTTCTTCTTATTCTTGATGATGATCTTGCGTCTGAGTAGTCCAGGAGGGGGCAAATGAACGCCTGGTTCCAGCTGATAACATTATTTAGTTATTTATTTAAAAACTAGCTGTGTGCCCGTTCTACGCACGGGGATCTTATAGTAGTCAGTTGAAACCTTCTTATATTAAGATTAAGAACAGCAATTAGTTTGCATATTTGCAGATATGCTGGCAAAAATATTATATATAAACCTTCGCAAATACAGTATCTGACAGTTCAAGCCAAAATAAATGCTTCGCAATTAAATGTCACCCGGATCCATATGTTGGTCCATATGTCCAATGATTAAACTTAAAAATGTTTTATAGATCCATGAAGCGTAGCCCTAAAGTAGGCCTATAATTGAAAGTTACTTTCCACATCGGTTAACTTAAACGTATTTAAAGTACTACCTCAACCTCACCATTTAACACTTTATTCCGGTTGACATTTTCAGTATCAAAGGTGCTCTTGTCCATTCCGTGAAACACTGAGAAATAAGGACATTAATGCGTTACCAACATACAACAAAACAACACAATACAACAATCCAACAAAGGCCACGAACTATTGATACATAAACAATATAAAGGCGTAAACAATTCATGATGGTTTGCCCAACAAATGTTTTACTCAAATAGGTTATCATTTTCTTAGCATACCGGGTAAGCTAAGATTTGGAATCCAGGCAGAAAAAGCAAAACTTATACAGAGTTAAGACATCACTTAAATTGAATACGGACGGCTCTAATAAATAATGTGCAACACCAACGATATATAATTTGTAAACTACCGGTTCTAAGGAAAAGAACCAGTACCTACGTAAGAACCTACCTAAGAATTACAGTAAATCGGACCAATTAAATACATTAATATCTAGTCCCGAGGTTATTGATCTCTTGCTTTTGGATTTTCTCGTAAAAAGTTATAGCGTAAACTTATCGGTGTCAGTTTGAAAAAGAAGCAACCTTACCCAAACAACTTTTTGTTATTTAATAGATTACGCATTCTCTAAACAATGATTAGTATATCTATTAACATTAGAAGGAAATGTGACGAAAATCACACAATGTTGGGGGTTTGGTCATTTGTAATTTTATTTTTTAAGTAGGTAGGCCATGTATTCTATGGAAAAGTACCGGTATCAAGGATCGTCGTCAAAAAGGTTGTTATGAATAAATATGTAGGCTTACGTACCCAAGATATGAGCTATGGGCCTATTGGCTGTATGGTCCAGCGATTGCATCACACGGTGAGTAGAAACAGAAAGTGACACATTGGAAAAGCGAGTTTAGCACTTCCTCTGTTAAACCTCTGTTACAATCACCCACTGCAGTTGTGATTTTTTACTTTACACTTTACACAATCGCCATTGAAGCGCCGTCAATGAGTGGAAACCTTTTTTGTAAGCTATTGGCGACGATCATTTCAGTGTCACAGCCCTATACAACACTGATTCAAGGTATTCTTCTTTCTGGTTGTCAAAACTCAAGAAACATTTTATACTCAAAGAATTTCTGGTTCCGATTTGGACGATGTCTAGTTATTTAATTTCATTTACGGTTACACTATTAGACTATATTATTGCACTTGCGATTAATTAAATCCGTTATTTAAGAAAAACGTTTTTAATCTCACTTGGTTGGGATTTGCTTTCAAAACGTGATTCGAAATAGTTGCGGTATTTGTAAACAACATTTGTAAACATGTCATTGACAGCTAGAAAAAATAATCTTGATCCGAACAGCTGTTCGTTATTTCATAGACGATTATGTGATAAAAATTGAACGAAAATTTGACAAAAATCGCACAAAACTGCATTTTTGAACGTCCGTAATTTTATTTACAAAGTAGTGAGGCTATATTTAAATCACTAAAGACACTCTCGCCAATCCAGTGAATACATTAAAATGACTTGGATCTTGATATGTACTCTGGTTTTCACGGAGAAGATTGCGTAAAATGCCATCTTGAGTGTTACAGACAAAGGGACAGACAGACAGACAGACAGAAATTGAGATAAGACTCGTTTCTGCTTCTTTAATGTATAAAACGTAAAAATAACCTAAAAGTATATAATTCTCAGCAATGTACAGACAAAACTCTAATTTTATTTATATAGAAGGGGTTTGGGACAGAGTTGTTTTTGTTCAAAGTTCTTTTTGATGATTAAGTTTACTGTATTTAAGGAATTATAGTAGACGTTTACCATTATGATCTGTAAAAACAATGTTTCTTATTCCACCCTCAGATGAGAAAATACTAAAAACTTTGTAAGATTGTTTGTTACATAAACACTAATAAAGCTGGACAATAATAGGCCTAATAAAAAAAAAAAACACATTGAGAGTTGTATAGGCCTAGTAGTGAAAACATTAAATAAGAAATTCTATGCAAAAATGGGTGGCCAAAAAGAACAAAGAAAAGTAAAAAAAAAACTGCTCAATGTGAAATTTGTTGCAATAATTCTGTAAATAACAAAACAACTAAGAAGCCTTGATTATGTAAATCATGAGTTAAAATAGAAAGGAGGTTGAGTAGATTATCACCTAGCTTTACTGCTGACAGTATTATACTTTTTCCACAAAATTTAGACGATTTGAGGGGAAGTTCCCCAACATTTTTGTGTGTGCTTAATGTATGTTGCTTAATCAGCTGTTGAGGTATTATTTTAAAGGTAAAGATCAAGTGCAGGGGATGGATTTATTCCCCTAAAACTGCACGACAGAAATTAATTTTAGTGGTAGATAATGTTTTAGTGCTGTTTACCTGATGAGAGTCCAGGGGTGTGTCTAACAACATGTCACCAAAGTAGTCCCTGCAATACTGAGCTATCTTGGCTTGTTGTCTCGGGTTGCAATGGTTCTCAAAACTAAGCACAACCGGGTAGTCTGACGTCTTGAAAGCAGACTCAGCTATAGCCTCTATCACCTAGGCAGGAAAAAAATCAAGGTTGTAAATTTAAATGAAAGCAAACCTTTTGAACATTTATCTTGCGTTAACATTTTAGCTTAATTGGAATATCATGGTATTGCAGAAGTATCACATCAGTTTTATTATATAAGTAAAAATTTTTACCTCTCGTGCCGAGATTTCAGGCACAAAGGTATATCCGTGTACGATGACTGGTTCCTCCGTGCGTCCGTTCCAGAAGTCAAGCTCCACACAGCGGCAGCCTGCCAGCAGGCATTGCCTATAGATCTCCACCGAGGACTTTCCAGTCAACTGGTGGCCTGCAAGTGGACAAAATGTACTTAAAGTTTTGCTAGGTAGTAGGTAATTGAGTCTCTATATAAATATATTTTACAAACGGTTGCTTTAAGTGAGGAAGTGGAAGTAAAATAGTCTGGTCTGCAAACCCCTACCAAAAAGGGAAGAGGTCAACTAGACTACAAGGCCTACAGTTAAGTGTAACGTGACTCAAACAAGCCTTTCGTATACCACGCTCAAGTCCTTCTCAGACGTAGATTGCTGCTTCATCAAAGCATTGACAGCCCCGGCAGCCCACAACCCTCCGTAAGGGAAGTTCCCAAAATAAATATTTCATGCATAAATTGAACAAAAACATAATAGTGAATAATTTGAAAAGAATTCAAAAATTCTCCACCATTTATCCTCAAAATGTAATGAAGTTGTCTTGATTACTGAGACTTATTAATACAGAAGTGAGTTCACCTGTCAGGTACGTATTGTGGGAAGAATTGATAAAGTAGTGTGCTAGTGGCTGGTCCATGTCATCACACAGGTCTATCTTGCTGGTGGCCATTACAGGGTTGTCTTCGCTCATCAGGTATCTCAGGAAGCCATCCAGACTCAGTTGACCTACACCAACATATCAACAACATTACCAACAGTCTTAACTGTTGTACATATACCATATGACCTACCCCTTGGGGTTTTTGTAACAAGGAATCATCCTGATCAAACTACATTTAATCTATCCTTTTATAATTTATGATTTTTTTGTCAGATGAAGGTTATTCTCAACATGTAGAGGTTGAAATATAGAATAAATAATTTTTCATGTATCCTGAATGACAGTTTTATTGAACGATGCAAGAGTAAATACACACAAGAATATATAATGAAAAATATTACAATTTAATGATGATAGTATTTAAAATCTGTCTTAAAATTCTGAACTATTTCTCAACTGTTATGTTCCTGAAATCTCACAAAAGTCAAAGTCAGTCCTACCTCTCATGGCGTTGTACTTGTTGGGCTCGTATTGGCTGATCAGGTCCTTCGACCTGGCTGGGTTTGCGTAAGGATGTAGGATCTCATTCAGTCTTGGGTCCCTCTGAGTCTTGTTGAGAAAGTCCACCAGCTGTGGAGCTGTCATCAGTTTCCGCTTGGTAGACCCGCATCTGGAAACAGGAGAATCTCTGTTTTTGGAAAATTGTTACCTGGATTTTGATTTGTTTTGAATATTCTCCTTTATGGTTGCCATACACATGAATAGGAGACATTTTCTTAGCAAAGGTATGAGTGTGACCATAGCCTCCTCTAAGGCCTGTGTGGTGTGTGGCAACGTTACAGCGGCATGGTTATTGGCATGGTAACAGCAGAAATAACAAAAGTGTAAACATAAACATTGAATATACATTCCATTTTAAATTAGTGCAACAGCTGTTTCGGTTTGGTGAGACAGCAGTGTTGCAGTTTTGTCTCGCCACAGCCTTGTATTAGAGGAGGCTATGGTGTAACCCAATAATGGATGGTAAAAAACCAACTGGAAACTTCTGAAAATATCGCTTTTGTCCTTATCAAACCAAAATCTATTTCCCACCAATGACCCCTAGGGACCAAACAAAGTCATTTAGAGATTTGATTTCTCTGTAAATAAATTTACTTACAGCTCCTCAAATATCTTCTCTACTTCCGATCTTGCTGTTAAATTTTTGTAGAATGTAAAAAAGTCTTCAAATGTAAACTTTTGAGGACTGATGGCATCATTCTGAAATCATACAACAATTTGAAAATCTTCATTTTGTGAACCCCAAAAGATAATGTACAAAACATTCAACTACTTGCAAATGTTTCATGTTATAATTAATTAAATAAAAAGGAATGAGAGTACTTCTCAAACGAGCCGAGCTTAAGACCTTGTAGTCCTTCTTACAGTCTACCAATAAAGAAAATTGTAGTACCGTAACATATCTCTAATGAAAATAATACATTTTCAAAGCGATCATGAAAAAGTCTTTAATTGGGCCTAATGACAATTGGGGCCAGTATGACTGTTAAAAAATATTGGCATTGTACTTGCAAATGTTTACAGTATAAGTGTAAATATATTGAATAGTTTTAATTTAGGCGTTCACGCAATGGGGCTGCTGATATATTAAATTATAGTAGTAAATAAAGCACAACAACTTAGTACCCTGAAATAATTATTATATTTTTTTTTGAAGTACTACAAAAATCTAAAAAAATATTTCAAACATATCTTGAGCTGACGAATAGTGAATTCCATAGAGAGTTATAATGAATCTTCATGATGTTTCAAGGTTCAACGGCTATTTTGCTAAACCTATGTTTAGGTCTAATAATCCTCATATATCTTACAACCGAGCGTGATACGAGTTAGCCTCATAAAATATAGATTAGGATTACTATTACGATCATTATTGATTATTCAACCAAGCAACTCATTGATTATTGCACAAATCTATTGGAAACTCATCCACCCATTTATTTATTGATGCTTGCACTCCTGTACTGATCCGATGTCGATGTATACATGTGACTAACTAAGCACTGGCGCTCAATGGCTTTCAAATTAAATATTTAAACTTGCACAGTGCAACAGCCCCCAAACACGGCCATTTACCAGTTCGAGTTGATTATTTTGTTATATTTTTTTTAATCGCTATTTTTACCAAGAGTTTAGTGTAATCAGTAGGTTTTCAAGACAAAATATTTTGAAGAAAAGACATTATTGGAGTTATTTGCAAGAGAATACAGTGCTAGCTTACTCAAGAAAATTAAGAGTCCCCGGGGCTAATAGAAACAAAACAAGGACACAAATTATCTGTGTTATGTTTTATAACGTTATTTTGAAAACAGTTAGCTGAATTCTACCCCTCAGGAAACCAATTCTTTTATACGCTAATTGTATTTTAAATTTGCAATTTTAAATGGTAAAATAGTGTAATGTAAAAATGCACCTTATATAGACTACCATTTATGTTTATCATCTGAACAATAACATTACACATATCAAATTTAAGTTTTCAGTGTTTAGAACAACGTTTTTACTCTTGGCAAAAAATTCACTAAACTTAAAAGGATAAAAATATTTGAACAATTGCTAAATTATAAGTAATTGATCTATAAAACATACAAATAGGATTTTTAAATTCCCCTTAAAAAGTATTAGTCTTTAAAATCCAAAATAATAATGTCTCGAATAAAAACGCCTAATTAGTTTCATAAAGGTTCTCCCATTCAATTATTTGAAAATTGTTGTTCGGGTAAAGATAAGCTGCTTTCTTAAAGGAAATTAAATACAATTTGATAAACCGACAGGGAGATTATTATTTAGAGAAAACAGAACAATAAGAATCCTGAAACAAAGAGCTTTGAAAGGCCTAAAACAATGGGATCCCCACCCTTATATTGTCTGCTTATAGGTCACACTGCTGACATTTTACTTAAACTACCTTAACCAAACACAATGGCGCTTATGCAGGGGTATACACACCTATGTACGCACAAACATAATTTTTCAATAAATATGTCTTTATATCGTAGAACTATTATTATACTTTGACAAATTTTAGTTTTGATTTATTAGTTTGATTTCTTTAAATAATTATTGACCTGGTCACTATCAGGGTAGGATAAAATAATATTTTCTATCTTCCTCACGTTTTGTCTATGGTTACATATGGTTTAGTAATAACACAACAACGCACAACCTTTAATCATTTTTATTTTATTATTATTATTTTTAAATCGATCGAGAGCTGCAAAACCATTTTCGGTCCGTGGTACGAACACTATTTTTCACCACACTACTACTATTCACAATGATAATAATGAAAACTGATAGTCAACGCAACTTTAAAGTTATGTGAAGAAGTAATTTTAGTGTCCACGCCGATTGGTATTGACCAAGAAGGTACCACAAATGCCTTTGATGAAATAGTATATTTTGTACCTAGAGCCGAAAACGAGGTTTTGCCGGCTCGAGATAGTTTTATGTGAAGAAGTAATTTCAGGAATCAGCAAAACTAATAATAAACAGTTGCTAGGCAACGGTGAAAATAAAACAATTCTATTTCAATGCTATGGATACTGTTTGTGTAATTAATATGCAAGCGGACAGCTGATTTTGCGGCCCCGGGATGTAAAAAACTGCTCGGTCCCCAAATTACGATGACAGCTGGCATGGCCAGCAAAACGTAACTTTCAGCCACAAATTAATGTATGTAATACAGCCAAAAACATCATAGTGTAGTGAAAAGTGCTTTTCACCACACTATGATGTTTTTGGCTGTATTACATGCGTTAATTGGTGGCTGAAAGTTACGTTTTGCTGGCCATGCCAGCTGTCATCGTAATTTGGGGACCGAGCAGGTTTTTACAGGCCGGGGCCGCAAAATCAGCTGTCCGCTTACTTACTTAAAACATGAATGCATTTTAAATACACAATCAAAATTCATAGCATTGCAATAGAATTGTGTTATTGTCACCGTTGCCTAGCAACTATTTATTTTTATTTTTGCTGATTCCTCAAATTATTTCTTCACATAACCTTTAAGTTCTAGTTGTGTTGACTATCAGTGTGCATTATTATAGTGGTGAATAGTGGTAATAGGGTATAGAGTGGTGAAAAATAGCGTTCGTACCACGGACCGAAATGGTTTTGCCGCTCTCGATCGATTTAAGTTCTCGACTTCGTCTCGAACTTAAAAACTATCTCGAGCCGGCAAAACCTCATTTTCGGCCCTAGGTACGAAATATACTATTACAGCTTATAACTAAATGATAAGGAAATATCACAATGGATTCTTTAGCTTAAAGACATTCTCTTTGATTATTTTTGCATTTCATATTTTTTAAAGCAACATCAACATGTGTGCCTTGTTTGTTAATCCTAGCTTAAGATAGCTGTAGTTTTGAAATTTAACTGCCAAGCTCGATAACTACACACTATACTTTATCAGGACCTTTTTAAAGATTTGTTTAACAAAACAAAATCATTTCCTACACAACAAAACTGTTAGATTTTTTACCTTAAAACCAGTTCAAGCTACTTATTCTAGATAAAATAATATTGAAATTTTTTAATATAAAATTTACAAATACATATTTTACTTTTGCTTATCAATACTCACTTTTGCTGATGGAAACCCTGAAGCGTCCAATGCTTTTTCAACTTTTTTTCTGTCTTCTTTGTTCTGTGCAAACATTTTTACAATGCTGAAAATAAAGAGATTAAACATTAGCTAACATTAAAATAAAATCACATATTTTCCTATGAATATATTAAACGATCATCTCAACTTACATATAAATACTTCCCTAAACGTCATAATAAACTGTTATGGAAATATATATAAGGGAGGTGTAATAAACTGGGAAATAAAACTCCTACGGGAGCATTGACCATAACTCAGCTTCTTTATGGGATTGAATATATATTATCAAGAGACTCATATTCCACATAACTTCGAGTCAATGCTCTACGCTGAGTGAAAATAAAATGTATCCATTTACTTTAGATAAAAAGCTAAAACGTTGGAAAACTACCAATTTTAAATAAATGGTTCAGTTTCACAAATTACTTAAATAGTTTCTTTTTCATAGGGTGGTTTAAAAAAAATTAAAATTTCTAATGTAAAGTAGTGGATTGTAAAAAAATCTGCAAAGACTAATTTAGCCTTTGGATCATATCCATACACAAAAACAATAAAAAAATACTGTAGTTATGTCGAGTGATCTTGTTTTTCTGCTTTTTAATGTCTTGATATGCAGCCATCAGATTCAAATCCTGCTGTCCTGTAGGACAGAAGAACAGGTCAACCAGCTTTTAAAAGCAGTTTGTACTATTACTGAAACTAATACTAATGATTAACACAAGAGAGAGCTGCCTATATCACTCCTTCTGAGCTTAGACACTATCCTCGTCTCTAAAAAAACATAAAATAAAAATTACAATTTATTATGACATCAAAAATGGAGAATAGACTTTAGAATCTTGGTTTTCATTGTGAGAATTGGAAAAGATACAGTCTGACATGGAGGCGTTGCAGAAATCCAGCCAATAGTATTTTTGCCAGTTGAACAACACGGTTGTCTTCTGAAAACCAAGTTTCAACCGTCTACTTTGAAGCTTGCCTTCCAGTAAAAAATACACACACATTTGCTACACAAAATACAAATCACCACCCCTTCCACCGAAGTACTCACTTTTTCGATGGTATTTTGCCCGCCTTATCCAACATGAGGGAGAGTTTGGTGTGCGCCTTTTGTAGAAACGTAACGGCTGGAAGGTTGAGCTGGTACAGCGAGATGGCAAGTTTGAGGAGTGTGTCGGTCCAGAGCTACAACACAGTGCGGACTGACATACCAAACACTACTGTCTACTACTACTGAGTGTATGTATGTGTAAGTGTAAGCTGTGAATTCAATTTGACTTCGGGCCAAACTACATTGTACATTGTACTCTACTACTTCTGGTAATGAAAATACAGTCGTACTACGGTTTTTCACACGATGCCAAACAAGTGGGAACTACAAAATTTTTTAAATTGTATTTAAATATTTATGTGTGGTATTATTAGGTCACTGACATGATAGTTGTTTAAGATATTGAGTTATTAGCTGTCAAAATTGTTAGATGTAAAGTTTAATAAAACGGGAACAAATATATTATTGCAGTGTGTTATTGAAAAAAGAAACTCATTAATACATACAAATTTATTATTTTTATATACATGCTATTTCTAAATTTATGTGTTATGTTTTAAATGCATGTTGTAATCCTGTTCAGTTTTTGTTAATTGATTTAGAGTCCTTAACAGCTAACAAAACATTTCCACCTACAAATTTACAGAAAGAAAATTGATAACTTATGTATGTATAACAAATATGGACTAAAATGGTATCCTTATTTATTATTCAAGTGTAAGTTTAGAATAGTGCCTTTAAGTCTATCAGTTTGTAAATATTGTATTTTAAAGTTATACCAAATATGTTAAAATATATAACAAAATCAATGTTTAAGCTTGAAACACAAAGTTGTAAAACAAACAATGGAGACTAGAAATGCTAACAGGTTTAGTGGAAATATTATAATAAGATAATTAGCACTGGTCCCAGTGTTGAGAGGGTTTTGTTGTTGCTTGTGCAACTGTCAAAGTAAATCATGTTGTAACACGTTCAACACTCTGACTGTAGCATTACTAGGTTATATTATACCATGTACTAGATAGTAAAAGATAACTTGCACTAAAATATTTTAGAGCAAATTTGTTTAGGAGGACATTTAAAAATGCTTTTAAATATTTAATGTTATGATATCACAAAATACATTTAATATTAAAATCCTGATTTGAGAATAATTCTACTGTTTCTTCAATTTAATTGTAGACAACAAAGAGAACACTTTTTATGAATATAAGTATAATTTATCATTAGGGTCAAACTGACACTTTCAAATATAATCTTAAGTTTAGCAGGCAAAGTGAAGGTTAGATAAAATGTGAGTTTGGAAAATACCCATTTGGCCTATATGAACTTTATTTTTCATTAGTAGCTTTTCTTTAATCTAACTAGATCACAACTAAAAAAATTGTACCTATATTGTTTGTCTTTATGCTCCTAAAATTGCTTCTATATTTTTAACTAATAAAGAAACAAGTGATTAAAATGTATTAAACGATTCACCATGTAATTTGAAAATGCCAGCTTCATTAGATATGACTGTGTCAAAACAATATAAATATGAAGTTTAAATTACTGATATATTTCTATACTCCAATTAGTCCAACTGATACAGGGGTCCGTTTCATTTTATAATAAGTTTTTAGATTGCAATAACTTGTCGCTTGAAATAACTAGGATCTATTGGAAGCTGTTAAGATTGGTTGGTATTGAAATGATTCTTGATTGTTGTACCATAGATGAAGTAATATAATTATATATTACTTTATTAATTATATTACTCCATCTGTGGTTGTACTTTCCTTAATACTTTCTTATTAAATGGCGACCATACTATTTTTACTGATGTATTTTTATGAATACAAGGGCTAAATATTGTATGACAAAGACTTTTTCATTGAAATATGATCAATAGCCAATTAAGTTTCTGATGTTTACAAAAATTGAATGAAACTCAATTTAGTAAATAAATAACAAGCTCATCTATCTATTTATATTATTAATACGCTACATGAAACTTTGTGAACAATAAGGCTTTTTTTAAAGACTTAACCCCACATATTATATACCAAAATGATCGTCTAGGTGTGTAAACTTGCAAACTGATATTACATTTTTGAAAAAGTCCCTTGAGCTCTGCCCCAGTTGCTTTTAAAGTTACCATGTTATCCTTATGAAGAACACATTTGCTTACATTATGATCAGCTGGATAATATAATTGCTGTTAATATTTTAGTTGCAATTTAAGGAAACGTGTGCTACAAATAAAAACAGAAAAAAATTAATTCTATAACCACTTATTGTACATTGCATAATTTCACCCAAGCAAAGCCGGGTTTTGCTGCTAATAAACAATTTAATTTCATAAATATAAATAGTTTTGAGAAATAGTCCCATTTTAAATGCCTGTGATATAAGTTATTAAAACCATGGGTATATCCAAGATGTACCAGTGAAAAAATAGTTCTCTTTGAAAGACAACGTTAAATCAGCCAACTTAATGCCACATAAATGTTGCTTAACGTAATTTGTTGTCAAACTTCTATAATTTGGCTTGCTTCCTTCATAAATTAGAAAATTTGAATCACACAAATGACCCACCATGGATAACTCTTTATGATTTTAAAACTTTAAACATTTTTGATACAATTATTTTACTACGAATGAAAGCAAGGCGAAAATCATGTAATGTTGCACTCACCAGCAATATAAAGAACCTACTACAGCCTGTGTAATTTATCTTCAGCTACATTTGAATACAAAACCAGTGTTTCATTTTAATTTTCGGTGGCAGATAAAGAACACTTTTGAAATATGTTGTTTTTATGAAGCGATATACTATGAGGGGAAAAGTCTCAAATAAAACATTAACTGAATAAATAAGCTTGTCACTTAGAAATTATGAAATTGTAAAATATATTAGCGAAAAAGGTGTTCCTAATAACCAATAAATGTAATCACGCAGTGACATGTTTAGGTGTATAATGTATATCTTAAAGGTAAAACTTAATTGAGCATGATTTTTTTATAGTATGGTCTGATTTGTATAATACTTGTAAGTATAAGAGACGAAAGAAATAATTTAATCCATTTTGATTTCTGAATACTGTTACTGGGGCTTATTATTCACAGAAGCATCCCAATTTAAATATACACTTATCTTCGTTTGACAATGATAAAACCATCTTCATCTTCTTAATAAAACCAATAGAAATTTAAAAAATTAAAATAGAACGTTAGTTGAAAAAAATTTAGTTATGAATATCAAGAATACATTAATTCACAACAGACTTCATTATAAATATACTGATATTTTTATTATATATATTTTTTTTCTTCAACTGTGCAACTTTGAATAAAATTAAAAAAATTTTCTTAATTTATTTTAATGAATATTTTTGTCTCCTTCACATAATTTTTGGACGTTTATTGTACTACTTGTTTATTGAAATTGTTAGCTTAAGGGATAGTTTTGCTGTATAATAAACTAATGATCTAATGACTTTGTGTTAAATCAATTTCAATACATTGATATAAGTTTTTAGGGCTAAACCAAAATCTCAAGTTTAGTTTTAACAGTTGAAGATTTTAAAATGCTAGGTACTTTAAACGACATGTGTAAGAGAAGGGCAAATATCAATTAAAATCATATCTTTAATCTTGGTTATATAGGTAAAATTTATAGGATTTTCATGTTTATATTTATTATTTTTTTCTTGACTTCAGGTAAATATGACAAAATTTTACCCTAAAAGGTTCTAATAAAGGTTCTAGGTTAAAATCTTAATCACAAAATGGCAAATTCTAAAATAAAAGTCAAAATACAAAAAATAATTAGTGGTTTGCATACTTCAGCGCCAACATATATTAAGATACTGTAACTCATATGATTACCATGTATCAACACAAGTGTCGTGGTCTATAATTAAGTTTTCATATTCCTAAAGAAATACTTACTTTAAAATTTTTTAACGAATAACAAGAACAAGGTTGGTAGGTTTATGGTAAAAGGCAACTCTGCTCAAAGCTTTAAAGTTAACAAGAAAGAAAGCAATCGTGGAGGTATGACGTTTTATATTGGAGATAGAAAAAAAACCATTGTGTTACAATGCAATAGGGAAGAACTAGTATCTTGTGAAAGCGCTAGCAAGAATTGTAAACTTCATGTATCTCATATGGATACACAATGGGTGAAAATAGAGGAAATGCATCAACCAGATGCTACCTTTCAAATTTGAGTGGAATAATTTGATGAATATAATTATATTCATTTTTTATTAACCAATCCATTTGATTGTTACTTAATGTACTTAATGTTTTGCACTGTTTTTGATTTGTTGAGAAACAAAGTTTTGTTTTGGCTACTCTTTTAGTTTTATTTTATTACTAGACATACACACAGAGTAATATCGTAATATCCCAAAGTTTCATGACAAATTGGCAAACAGTTTGGTAATGCATAACAGACATATACCGAATATAAAACCATGGTAACCTATAGGTTACCTAAAAGCTTGTTGGCTTTTGAGGTATGTAAACCACTCAAGTAACTCACAATCCTGGGACACAATCGTTACAAAAAAATAAATTAAGCTAGAATAAAAACTAAATATTTCCGTGAACTTGTCCTCTTACACAAACCAAAAACCTAAGTGATCTAACTCCACACGTTTTAAATGTAGCTCCTAAATGCACAAACAACTTGACTAGGTAATGAAAAAGGTTGATCTGATGTGACCTTATGGCCAAGCTTCATCATTGATTTGGATAACATATTTTGGTAATTCCGGTTATCCTCTAATCCTTATATACAATTTGCCTTGGCTAAAAGGAATGTTCAGCACACATGGCACGTCTGTGGTCTGCCTGCACATTGTTCTGCCTGGTGACCACAGCAGCCACTGAGGTTTCTGGTTTAAGCCAGGTCAGGCGAGTCTCACTCCATGTGCGAATCTACACTAAATTGCACCGCCTACTTGATCTCCACCTCCATTTTCCATGTCATCAAAGTCTTTTTACAATCGACTCAAGTTGGCAAAGGGGATTCCCGTATTTACAAACTTAATTTTACAAGACAACCAAATGCAACTGACGATAAAATAACCTGTAAATAAAGAGGGTTTACGTTGTTATCTATTTGATTTATCCAAAAATACTGTGGTACAACCTCACAAACTCAAAAATTTGTAAACCCAGAGGTTGTCGAGTTTGGGGGTTGACGAGTTACCCAGAACATTGAATTTTTTAATGGGTTTATGAATGAATACATAACAGACTAATTGTTAAATATAAATGTATTACTGCTGTAACATTATTATCTTTTCATTTTATGATGTTTTTAGCAGTTTTACAAGTGTTCAAGGCTGAAAGCTAGATATTGCTGTCCATGCCAGCTGTTATCGTCATTTAGGGACCAAGCAGGTTTTTACATCCCTAGGGCCGAAAATCTAGGGTTTTTTGATTGGCCTATTCATGGGCAGAACAGTGTGGACGCGTGCTAGATTTGCAGCACATTCCTTTTTAGGCAAGATAAGATATAAATAAGGATCAGAGGATGCCTGGAATTTAATTTAAATCATGTGGCCTGATGACAAAGTAATTAGTAAACCAACTGGTAGGCTCCCAAACTGTAGTGTTTTGGTTCAATTGTCTCGCCTCATCAGGCTACAAATATCTGGCAAATAGTAATCTAATGAAGCTTGGACCGTAAAATGACATCAGGTCAACCTTTTCAATTGCCAAAAAGGACTGAAAACACCAACAACCAAACCGAACTTACTTGAGCAATCTCCTTCTTGGTGCAGCAGAAGTTAAAGAACGTGAGGTTGACAAAGTCTGGGCCGCAGCAGATTGTGACCGTCTTCTCCTCCAGCGTGTCCTGTGAGCCCATGGTGACGATTTGACGCAGTTTGGGGTCCTGGAACAAACCCAACTACTTCAACTCCACCGCCAGCCGGCGCCACTCGGCGCTCTACCACACATCTCACACAGAGGGGGAGAACAGAGAGAAGTGATAGACAGGGAAGCAGATAGTAGTTGTACAGACTAAGACACAACAATGGAGGTGAGGTGCGAAAAAAGTTTACTCGTAATAGAGTACATCCTACTAAATAGAATAAGCGTTTTCTCTGTTACATCTCTTGGGACGGGTGGCGTCGCCCTTTAATCCAGCTACTAGGAGGTCACGAATTGTGGATATTTATAGGCATGGACTGTGGATGCGATACTCCCTGGTGTGGATTAACGTCCGCACGAGTGAGTACTACGACTATCCGCAGTACTATCCTGATAATTAGACCAATTCGTATATACCAAGGCAAAAATGTGGTTCGGATTCCACTATAAACTGTAGGTCCCTTAGTTGCCATTAGCTGTTTGGCTATTAATTAACAGCTGTGTCTAAGGAATGTCGGCCTTAGTCACTAACAAGACTACAAGATCACGCCACTCATCCTACACTCATCTCCATTCATACTTGGCTTAAAATACCTACTTTGTATGGTCACCATTTAATAAGAAAGTATTAAAGTATTTTCAGCTGTCCTACTTAACAAATTTTCACAATTGAGTTGTCATTGCTTGATCAACTCATCAAGATCAGTCATGATCAAGCACATCTGCAATTAGTAACAAAAAAGGTTATTTCCTCAAGGGATTCGTCTTCCTTACGTTTCAATTTTTTCTAGAGTTCACTTTTCAGTGTTGCTGAATAACGTCAAAAATTTAAAAAAAATTTATGAAACATAAGTATAAACATAATCTCTAAATTCCAATTTTTCTAAAGAAAACACTCTAAATTCTAAATAATTAAAAAAATTATGATTGTAACAAAATATCCCTAGAAATTTACTCAGTGGCAGGTTGTCTTTTTAATCAAATGTAATAATAATACAGCAATATCGTCTCTCATGGGGCACTGTGACGGGGTGTCGTGGGCAGTAGATGGTAGAGGCAGTGTGAGGACAGGACCAGCCAAAGACAACAAGAGTGGATGGGGTTTTGGAACTTCATGTTAATGGCGGGATTATACTCTGTTCACAATATTTAGGCTGTTTGAGAGGAAGTAGTCCCACCACTCTTTTGTGCATAATGTATGTTACTAGCAGCGATTGAGCTACTATTTTAAAGGTATGGGTCAAGTGAAGGGGATAGATTTCTTCCCCAAAACCACCTGAATTTTGTGAACGAAGTATAATCATAACTCAACCATGTTTGCCGGCTACACCACATCGTCCACTACGATTATAATTTGGATAATCTTTTATTTTATGTTTTGTACTGGGTTTATATTTTTGTTCTGTAAATGTATTTTGACTCTTTACAACTACAAAGATGAAAGGGATCTTAAACAGCTTGGTATTCCAATTGTAAATGAACCTTTAAGTTTGAATCATTGTTAATTAATTAAAAAAAGTCACTTGATACTACTAGAGGTATTTACAGTTTTATATTTTTAATTTTAAAAAGTGATTCAGCACATTCTTTCCCTTCTACTATTTTTGTTATACTGTAGTATTATTAAGTTATACACAATTCATTTTCTATGAATTGAGAAGGAAATGTAGGGTGGAAGTTGGAGAAAGGGGCCAAAGCTCCCTGTAGGTTTCATAATTAAGTAGTAGACTAACACTTTCTTCTAAAAAAAAAAAAAACTGTGCACCTACCAATGCCAATTTCTGTAACCAACATCGTAGCGAAAGAACACCTTTAACCACACAATAAAATCAAACGCACGGTTAAACAATATATTAATATCTAATTAGATTAAAACGTTGTAGTATAATAATCAGACCCGAGCTTTGCATAACCGGATGTAGCACTTCAACTAATTGTCCACACCAAAGCGAGGCGTTGTGACAAAAAGCATATTACATTGTAGAGGTAATCAAGCCATGCAGGTCTTGAAGTGACAGCTTAATGAGATTCTCTTGACCAATTAGCCGAATGTGACACACCACTTAATGGGGCGAGAGGCTGTTCTTACATCTGTCATGACTAATCATCATGCGACTAACTATGGATCCTAAATGGTTGGATGATTACAGGTTTTAAAATAAATTAACTCGTTAAATAATTCATTTGTCTAAATTACCAATAACAGTAATTGTGATAGCCAAGGATGAATGAATAGTTTACTGAATAGTAGGCCTATAAAGTGAATTAACTAAAATATTTACTGGAATAAATCACAACTGGAGATTAGAAAATATTTACTTCCACAAATGGAAAATATTTGATAACTAATTGATTAATTATGAATTCTCATGAATACATACTGAACAAGCCGAGAATACATGATTCGCTGGCTGGTGTGGGAATTTCACTAGAATGAATAATCTATTGAATAAATAACGAATTTGTCTAAAATAATATATCTAATACAATAAAGCATTTTAACTAGTTCAAGCAAATAATAGTTTAAATAACAAATAAACTAATTAATTTTTCAAAGATAACTTTTCCCAAAATATCTTCTCTAATTGTGAGCGGATGGTTAACTAAATGGATTAAAATGATGAGTGAACTGGTGGATAAGTGTGAAATTGTTCTAAAACAAATTCTAAAATACCAATTGGTTGATAGTCTATAGATTCCTATATGGCTTAGAATAATGGATGAAGTAGTGGTTAAATAATGAATGAAACTGGATAATTAAAAGTTAAATATATGAACTAACTAGTTAAATGAAAAATTTTCTAAAATATATACTGTGAAAAACCAAGATTGAATTATTTTAACTAGCCTACATAGGATATAATAAACTAATTGATGAATAACGAATTCTAATTTTAGGGAGTAACTACCACTTAAACTCCCACTTATTATTACTGATTCACTCTGTGAAATATTGAAAACACATTATTCCAAAATGTCATGAATATAATGAAGGCTATTGTTTGTACTATTTACATTTTCTTACTATAGCTTCTCTTATTGATTTTAACTATACTGTTATTTGTTGAATGTTTTTAAAAATAATTTCACGATCCATCCGTCACACTTTGGATTTATATCTCATTGTTTGCTCGGACTCACACAAAATAAATACACTACACACAAACTTTGATCTAAATCTTGCCAATTATCTTCTGAATGGCTGATTTATAAACATACAAAAACTATAACTGTACTTTCCTCGTGTTGAAGATAACTCACCATCCCCAGAGGAAGGTTTTACACCTAAGGTAGTTATTATGTATCCCCATAGACACATTAAAATGCATCTGAAAACTATGAAGGGGAATATTCATAACTGCTGTTGCATGTCACATTAAATACGAGCTACCGTATATTACTTGTGTTTGTCAGAACACTACCTATATTTCATGATGAATACTCTCTGGGTAGTTAAGTAAGCAAAATAAAAGTACGTTTTACATGTGCAACAGAGTAACTACAGTCCTTTCATACTCAATCTGAATACGGGTATTCTGACATCGGGTTCAAAAACTTTAATGAGGTCCCTAAAAATTAGCAGGATTAATACAGCTTAATGGCTTTTTCTAGTTTATGAGTTAGGTACCCATAAAATAAATATAATTGAACATAAAAAAACTAGCTTTATACACTGCAAAAACACAGTATTATCTGACTATAATATTGATGTAAAAATCATTGAAGTTGCTTATTTTTACTGTTTAACCTGGTTGATGACTCCCTGTATTTTTAATTGCATCATAAATTATCTACAAAGTTTTAAACGAAACTAATAAAAAAATGAACAGGAAAAAGGTTGGTTTTCAATGATAGGCCAAACACTTGCACACACAGCCACATTTTGTTATTAATTCTTGGTAATTTCAATCAGTTGATGACGTAATTGGTCTTAATGGGACAAATCATCAAATGGCTCTATACTTTGACAATGAGATCAATATTCAATTGTCATATAATTTCTTTGAACGTTTAATAAGTAAATTAAACAAATATTAAATTGATTTACAATCATGATTGGGAAGGGGGAAAATGTGGTTGGAGAGAAAAATGCCATTTTAGAGTGGAATTATGTTTTAATTATTTTGGAACAATAAACTCTGTGCAGTTAACGTTGTGTTCCCATGTTAAGTTTTATTGCATGTACTATAATAAAAATTACTTTGTTTAAGCCACTGACAAGGTATTCTAATTCCACATTAAATTAAAATTTTCCTTCTTCCTTAATACCAAAGCAAAGGACTTTTTCTACAAAACCAAATATTGCTTGTTATCCACCAACTTAACGTATATATTTCATATAAAATTATTTCCCCATCAAATATTATAGTACGAAAACTAAACAAGAAAATAAAACTTGAATGGGGGTACACTAAAAATGAGGGAATTATTGAAGCATTTTAAAATGCATCGCATTGAATCAGATATTGGCAAAAACTTATCAATTTCCTTCAGATGCAATGTCTACTTAGATTTCCATAAGATTTTATTGTTTTCCATTCAATTTTCCAATGAACATAACATAGAGCATGCATAAAATCTTAATTAGGTTCTCATTTGTTTTTGCTGACCACATTAAAACTCAACTAATTGTAACTAAAACAATGATTAGTTGTAATTAGGCTTCTGGTTTCCATTAGCAGGGTTTAAATTAATAGGATGCGTGATGGTAAGGTTGTTTTGTAAATATATTAAATAAAGATAGTATTTTGATTTTGTGCCTTAAAACCCAGCAATGATACATTTATGGCACCTTGTTAAAAAACGTAGGTTTTAAGGAAAAAACAAAGCTTGATAGGACTAGTGGCCCCTTGGATTGCAAAACTAAGTTAACACAAAAATCTGGTTCTTAAGTGATAGACAAATCAAAGCCACGGTCCAAATTTCAGTTTAACTGTTTCCATTATGAGTGCATGATCAAACTCGCAAATTAGGCTTAAAATAAATTATGGGTTAAATAATGACGGTTTTCACAAAATGGTT